GACCTACGACGTCATGAAGGAGGTTATTTTTTGCTTGTTTTTGTAATTCTAATTTGTCTATAACTTTTAAAACAAAGCGAAATTTAATCCTGAGCGCACTATGTTCAGGATCGGTGCAAATTAAAAACCAGTCAAAAAGTCGTTGCAGGGATACTACAACAAAATTTCGGCGCTCATTTTTTGGTCTATATGTGTTCAAAAAAGCAGTATCACATGGAACATACCAATATCTTGTTAAAAAAGTCTCGAAAAGGAATTTTAAAACGAATTAAACGATTAGCAAAGAGCACCTGGTGGATGTCGCTAACGCCTCGTTTGTAATGCTCGTCTAGGAACCTTGACAGCTAGTGACAAAGGTTGTCTCGTCTCCGGCCACGACGAGAGAAGGGGGGAAGGAGGAACTCCCCTCTTCCCGAGAATCCCTTTTGTGTGTCGCAGAAGTCGCTATTGTCCCCCTACAAGATTATAGAAGATTAACCCGTCACTCAAAATTCGTACAAAAGCAGCCGCTTCGGTGGCTGGAACGACTAGGCCATCCTCTCGACGTCAGCCTCGCCGTAGCTTATTCGTCTTGAGACGACCTATGTCACGATTGCGTTGGATGTCACGTGCTCTAAGCTGGGCCTTCTCCCAGCGCTTGCCAGAGTGGGCCGTTTATAACGAAAAATACAGCCACCAGGATCAAAATACAAACGTGCGATTGTCATTTACGGATATTGTGGATCATATTCAACCTATTTTTGAACACGACGGGAATATTTCCAATTTCGTTGAAGTATTCCTTTAAGCACTGGGTCATATACTAAGCCAATTGTGCCAAGACTGCTAAAGAGCTTCATTGCATTGAAAGCGTTCCTTGCGAATGCGTCTTTGGCACTGTGTATGTAATCAACTTATCAGTCATGCTCATCTCCGCAGACCTCTTACAATGATATTGCTTTTCTTATATATATAAATTTATATATGTAAGAATAAGAGCAATATCATTGTAAGAGATCTGTGGAGATGAGCATGACTGATAAGTTGATTTTTCTTTGTTAACACAGAAAAATTTTCATTGCCTCCAAGCACCAACATCGCATGTAGCGGCGACACAAAAATGTGCCCAGCGAATTTCGATCGGCCTACCACCACTACCACCAAGAATGGAGAGGTCAAACTGCTAATTCTATGAACCAAAATGATGACCACACGAGGTGCTTGGTGCTACTTTCCCGTGATCCAGCGATTTTAGTTACAAGGAGGCCCACTGATGGGATCCTGGCTCCGGAAACTTCCCATCTTTCGGCGGCCTTCTAACACTCTTTCCCATTTGATCAGTATGGTTCATTCTCCTGCATCTTTCGATACGCTACAAAAAGGCAACGAAACTAATCCGGCGACAGAAATATGAAAGTAAACATAAACGTTTAACAATCTAGTTAGTTTTTCTTCTCTGCCAGGTGGCGTCAACTGCTCAATTTCTGCACATGCGCATAACAGTCGAAGTAGGTATTAAAAGCTCTGAAAAAATCAAACCTAGTTTAACTTAACCTCAGCAGGTTTGAGACAACAACTCTCGTTGTTGGCTAAATTGAATCGTCTTTCCGTTTGGCACATTTTGGAACCCTGTTGGTTCTACCTCTGGCAGGTCAGACTAAACCCATAGCGTAAAGACGCGCGACCAAGAGCGTTGCTGTGGTCGGCATTTGCGATAGGCCAAACACTCGCTACGACGTTCATATGTAGATTACTTTGCTTTCATCGACGAATATATTAACAATGTCCCGACTGTAGACTAACGTTAGAGAGCTTTAGTAGATCGCTCCCATGACTCCAATAACGATACCCAATACTCCGCCACCGCCTCCCTCGCACATGCATAGTATCGTTATCGGGGCTATCGGAACGATCTACTAAAACTCTCTATTAGGGAGTATTAGTATCGTTTTCCAAGGCCAGCTACGGCTACGAGCGCGCGCTTAAAGGGATACTACAACGAAATTTCGGCGCTAATTTTTTGGTCTATATATGTTCAAAAGAGTAGCATCACATCGAACATACCAATATCTTGTTAAAAAGTGAAAGCCGCTTACAACTCCCTGTAACGCCGAATTGGAGCGCAGCTCTTGAGGAGGAGGGAAGGGCGCTGGGGGTTAGACTAACCAGGGGGGGGGGGTCACGTCACCTTGGGGGGTCACGTGACCTTGGGGGTCACGTGACCCCCAATGCCGATGATGTCATCAGTGACGATGACGTGCGGGTACCGATGACGTCATTAGTGACGTCACTGATGACTTCACCAGTGATGATGACGATGACGATGCGAATGTCGGTGACGTCATCAGTGAAGTCGCTGACGACGTCATCAGCGATGATGACGATGACGATGCGGATGCCGGGGACGACATCAGTGACGTCACTGATGACGTCATCAGTGATGATGACGATGACGATGCGGATGTCGGTAACGTCACCGGCATCCACATCGTCATCATCACTGATGACGTCACCGGTATCCACATCGTCATCATCACTGATGACGTCATCATCAGTGATGATGACGATGCGGATGCCGGTGACGTCATCAGTGATGATGACGATGTGGATGCCGGTGACGTCATCAGTGATGATGACGATGACGGTGACGTCATCGGGGGGTCACGCGACATCGGCGGGGGTCACGTGACCTCAGGGGAGTCACGTGACCTCGAGGAGGGGGTCACGTGACCTCAGGGGAGTCACGTGACCTCGAGGAGGGGGTCAGGTGACCTCAGGGGAGTCACGTGACTTCGGGGGGTCACGTGACCTCGGGGGGGTCACGTGCCCCCCCACGAAGTCACGTGACCCCGGTGGGGGGCTCGCGCGGTGCATTATGGGACATTTCCCATGATGCACCGCGCGGTTACGCCGACGCCGCTCAAGCCGGAAACGGGCCCCTAAGAGCTGCGCTCTAAAAAGTCACGAAAAGGAATTTTAAAACGAATTAAACGATTAGCAAAGAGCACCTGGTGGATGTCGCTAACGCCTCGCTTGTAATGCCCGTCTAGGAACCTTGACAGCTAGTGACGGAGGTTGTCTCGCCTCCGGCCACGACGAGAAAAGAGGGGCAGGAGGAACTCCCCTCTTCCCGAGAATGCCTTTTGTGCATCACAGAAGTCATTATTGTCCCCCTACAAGATTACAGAAGATTAACACGTCACTGAAAATTCATACAAAAGCAGCCGCTTTAATGGCTGGAACGACTAGGCCATCTTCTCGACGTCAGCCTCGCCATAGCTTTGCTCGTCCCGAGACGACCTACATCATGATTGCGTTGGATGTCACGTGGTCTCCGCTGGGCCTTTTCCGAGCACTTGCCAGAGTGGGCCGTTTATAATGAAAAATACAGTCACCAGGCTCAAAATACAAACTTGCGATTGTCATTTATGGATATTGTGGATCATATTCAACCTATTTTTTAACACGACGGGAATATTTCAAATTTCGTTGAAGTATCCCTTTAAGAGCATGCATCGAAGTGGCAGAGCGAGCCTCCGCTACACATACTGTGGCCTGAAAACATGATCTACTAAAACTCTCTAGTGATAGTTTAAAAAAGCAATGAATTAAGAAAACACTAACACCCCCCCCCCCCCTAAAAAAATTTTTTTTTTTCCTTGTTTCTTAGGCGATTTACAACTACCCATCGTAAAATACTGGGCCAGCGCCCACTCAAAATTTGGACAATCATGAAAAAATGGGGGATGGGTGCTTGTCCGGTCATCAATTTTACATATAAATGTACCGAGCGGATTTTCTCATATATTACAAATTGGGGAATGGGTGGATGCGTGGTATTCTACGGTAATTAATATTTTGCTACAGCGTCAGATATGTTTAATGAAGTGAAAAAACGAAGCTGCTCGAAGCCGAAATCGGACTGGGGAGGAAGAAGAAATGTAGAGAAGGAGAGTTGCCGGAAGGCACGTGAGGCAAATTCTGGTCACTATGTCGCAAGCAAAAACTATAAGGGGGCGTCACTGAAAAAATCTGTGCTAAAAAGCAAATGAGCTTTGAATAAATTTTTTTTTACAGCGGAGCTGTTAAGGGCTAGTTTCCCGTTTCGTGTCCGGCACCAAATAAATGTCAACAAAAAACTCTGGACAGCTACCGCTATCTATGAGTGACGGTGGCAACCAGACAACCACTTTGCCAGTTGCCGCCAACGCACATAGATGGCAGCAACCTTCCCAGCCTCTTCATACCGATTTTCACCAGAGTGGAAAGGCTGAATTTCTCTAGGTGTCATCCTAGAAGTCGTCCATGAGGTTGTCCTCGAGGACGTCCGAAATGTTGTCTTTGAGGTCATCCTAAAGTCATCCTCGAGGTTGTTCTAGACGTTGTCCTTGAGGTCGTCCCGTCGTTTTAGGCGTCATCCTCGAGGTCATCCTAAACGTCGTCCCCGAGGTCGTCCTAGACGTCATCCCAGAGGTCGCCCTTAAGGTCAACCGAAAAGTCGTCCTAGGTATCTTCCTCTAGGCGTCGTCCTTGAGGTCGTCCCACCAAAGTACAGCTTCACTGGTCTTCCTTGTTCACCAGAGTGGAAAGGCTGAAATTTTTTTAAAACCAGCACATGCAAACAAAACTTGATACTCCACCCATGCTTTACAAAAGCAATGCACATATTCAGACTACTAATTATTTAAAAAAATAATTGCATGGTCAAATTCCGGCCCCCACAGCAAGGAGGAAATTCTCCTTGCTGCGGGGGTCAGCCCTCAGCTCCCCATCCCTTTTAGATGAGGAACTGTGCAAGAAGGATGTGAGAGGATGATGCTGGGAAATAAGGTTTTTTGCCAGCTCAAAAACAATTTTGTGAGTCAACTTTCAAGATAATCAATACTAGCCGTCCTCAGGTGATGTCCAAGCAAGCCACACCAAGGCAGCAGTCATCTCATAACTATAGCTGTGTTGCATGCAAGCTGACCAGCACGGTCTTGTGATCAGTAGCAATATGACAACGAAGAAAGGACACAGACTCCAAAAAAACTGACAATTTATTGAACACTTTTGACTAGATGTATCACAACGTCTTCGTAAGGCAAACCCGGCCCGGACGACCGTCAACCTTTTAGTCTGCACAAGACAATGTGCTGCCAGGAGAACTGCTGGGGCAGGAGGCAGGGGAAAGGTGCCCAAGAAGTTTGCCATAGTTAGACTCTAAAGCAGAAAACAGGCGCTACACAAGCCCATAAAGAAACAAGAAAATACAAATAATATGTGAGACCCTGCAAAAGCAGACTGTTAAAGAACAAAAACCGCTAGGGGATGGTTCATTTCAGAAACGAGCAGGGCCCCTCTACTTCTGTATACAAGTGGAATGGTCCCGAAAAGATTAAAGCTTATTTCCGAAGCCGGATGTGTAATCTTGTCCACCCAACCCCCCACCCCCCTCACCAATGATATGTAAACAGTTCTGCACTGCTGCCATGGACTTTTACCTGCTAGTCCTCACAGACGGTCTTTCACCGACCTGGAGACAACTTGGCCGGCACAGCCAGTCAATAGCAGACTCTCAAACCCCCTGGGGAATGCAAAAGTAGACGGCAACCTACTTAGTCGGCAGAATCCTTGCAAGGGTCAAAAGTTTCCCCGAGTCCTTGCAAAGGAACTCGTGAAAACAGTGAATGCTTTGAGCCAGATCCGGGTGGCAGACCCAATGCACTCTCTTAGCACCAGACCTTGCACCACAACTGCCAAAGCAGACAACCCTCCAAACCCTTGCATACTGGAGTTTTCTGTGCAAAAGGGCTTCAAGAGTGGCAAAAGCCAAGGGGCTGAACCAGAAGTCGGTGCCCGCACCGTTACATGCATCCGGGCCAAGACTGCGAAAGCAGACGGACTTCATGCCAGATCATCAGACAGGCTTCCTGAAAAACGAGGAATGGTTTCTGCCAAGATTAGGAACTAGTGCTTGTACGCCAGCAGGCACCAATATCTGTAGGTTCCCCCCTCCTTCCCTCCATTTCCATTTAATGGTGCTTTGGTTCAAGCGGGCTGCCTGCTTGTACGAGGACTTGGGCTTGCGGAGGACAGTTGGAGAGCGCAGGACTGCCACCCTGCTGGATCTGCATGTGATACTTGTAGATGTTTTCCGTACTCTCCACCAGTCCTGTAGGGATAAAAAAACAAAACATCACAATGCTGCATATCATCACTGACCTCATCTGGCAGGAGTTTATACCATGAGGATGTGATCGTTTGCTACGGCCTAGAGTTCCAGTATTGTGCGCGTCTGTCGTTCTGAAGCACATGATTGTGACAGACAAGACTTTAAATGCATTTTAATTGCCGTATATATATTCTTAGTAGTGCTGTGCTATTTGAATTTTCGAATAGTACTCTATTCGATATTCGCTTCGAGAGCAGTTGTAATATTTGTGCTTTTCGAAGCATTCGCAAACTCACGGTCACAAGTTTGTTTACTGTCTAAAGACCAGAAAGAAACAATATCTAAAATCAAGAATATACTTACACGTTCGGCAAAATGGTATAAATATTATGGTGGGAACTTTGAAATATATTCATCGTAATTATTTCATCAACTTTTTAATAATGGGCAAAAGAAACCGAGCGACGAACTCCAGAGATGCTGGCGCCATCTTCGCCAATCTTGGCGCCCTGGTTGCCAGCACTCTTTTCTCACTGCCGCCGCGTCCTGACATAAATTTAGAAAAACAAGTTTAGAAATTTCTCATAACATGCATAATTGCTCACAAACTTTTATTTCCGATAAAACTCATAAATACGGTTTCAAAACATTTAAACTATAATATTTCGAAAGAATATTATGTTATTACAGCAACAAGGTGAGTGAATGACATCGACATTGTCAAAATGACGGCAGCTAAGTCGGTTGGCAAGATGGAGTAACGACAGTGTGAGAAGTCCAGTTTGGAAGTATTTCTGTAAACTTCCCTCCAAAAACGGCCGAGTATTCAATATTCGATTCGAAAATATTTGACCAAAATCACTATTCGCTTCGAATTCGATTCGAACTCAAAATCCACTATTCGCACAACCCTAATTCTTAGCTTTTAAGCTCTTAAGGTTTACATGTCCGTGGCATGTAGCCTCAATGGGGAAGTCGCACTAATCACATTATTCTGTTCATGTGACATCATCATTGTTTTTAAAGTTTCACCATGATGCCGTCATGTAAACACCGTCATGAAGTCACGGTGTTCATGTGATGTCAACATATTTTAAAGGCTCTTCGTGACATCGTCACGTGAATACTGTGATGATGTTACGGTGTCCACGTGTTGTCATCAGCCTGACGATCATCACATGACACCATCGTGCCATGAGGCATGAAATCACAATGTAACATCATCGTGTAATGGGATCTGATGTCAGGTGACACCATAACATGACAGCTATGTCACATCACCCCATGACAATGTAAGGTCATGTGACCAAGTGCATCCCTGATGGTCAAGTGACGTCACATGACACCAGGGCACCATATGACACCAAAGATCTAAAAAATATTGTGCATTTAGGGTTCCTTTGGGATATACCGAAAAGAGGGGCATTTCTTTTTCGAGAAGATTATCATGAAAACCTGTTCATGTTGCGAATTTGATGGGTAATGGAAGGACATAAAATGAGCAGAGACCCATAATAGTGAACAGACCTACCACATATGGCCCGACACGAGATGATCTTTGTCATTTTAACTCATTGATTGCATGTAAGACCCATAAAGTGCATTACAAAGGGGGTGAAATTTGAAGGGATAATATTAAAACACAGGGACGCTATAAATACAACGAGAGTGGGGGTGTGTCACGGATGAAGATGAATGGCAACAATTTCAACGAATTTCTGCAGGTCCATTGTCGAAGATCACAAACATGGGCTAGTTGTTACTGCATACAGTGAGCTGGCATATCTAAGGTAGTGTAAGGCACGTGTATAAAGTTGATCTGGCGTTTCGTTTGAATTGCCGTATACGTATAAACTGGAATATAGATTGAACCGGAATATAGACCTTTTCTGCAAGTGCGCCGCCACCTTGAATTGACGTCACTTCCAGTATGGGCGAAAACATTGTTTTGCCTTTGCCTCTCCTTCATTTTTTTACTATTTGCAGGTTGAAACGTTGGATTATTTTTTCGTCGCCCATACCGGATACGCCTATTAGGTGGCTGGGGACGAGAGTACACAGAAAAGGTGTATAGGACGACCACCTAATTTACAAGTTGCAAAAAGCAAAAAAAAAAGTTTTTATGGCAGGAAAATGCAACCTTACCTTGGTAACAAATTTGGTCAAGGATACGGAAGGACAAGAAAACACGGCACATGTGTTTAGTTGCTTCGCACGCAATAAAACAGGAAGTGCATGAGCGTTACTACTCAGATACTTCAGAACGTTTGTCTGATGACGAGTTCACTAACGTAATTCAAAAGGACAACGCCATCTGGTTGAATTGTGCCCTCGAAAGCCCGGAGGCACAAGCGACCTCTTTGGCTTTCGTACGGATGCACTACGACGTCACAGGTCTGGCGTGCAGATCCTGAATAACATGTGCCACCTTGGTTTTTAATTGGGGGTACACCGCAGTCCTTCCACGAAATTAAGTTTTTTTTCCATGTTGCTGCATGCCGCCAGTTTTTGTCACTGGCCTCGCCCGTTGCATATACACTTCTCCGATACACCAAGCTCTCGCTACACTGCAAGATTTCCGTGGATCTCTGCATAAACGATTGCCTTCTTCTTGAAGGCTACCGTGCTACCGTGAACTGTCTTCTACTTCCGCTCATTATCACTCCGGGAGTGGCAATGGTAGATGTAACAAACCAAGGAGCACAAGTGGACGAGTGCTAGGCAATTGCAAAGAAAAACAAGATGGCGGCTTCAGCCACCCAGTGTAGCGAGATTATTTTTGTTTTTCCGCTAATGACCATTATATAAGACAAGGGTAGACTTTTCCAGGTCCATTTTCAAAAATAAATTAGACCTATATTCCAGTTTATACGTTACGTATTGTTTCCATTAAACTTTCAAGGTAGCCCACAGTTGCAGGTTTATTGCAGGGGCCGAGTTGAGAGTCGAGAAAAATAGTGCCATCCTTGTACAGTGGAATGCGTGTTTCTCACAGAAACAGGGAACTTCTAGCCTTGGCAGCACGAGACACACCACTAAATTCGGTGTATGGGGCGGAAATGGGCAGCACAGATAAAGACTGTCAAGCTCGCCAATGCAGCAGCGTTCCTACCAGAGGTGATGTTGAAGCTGCGTCCCCGTATTCCTGATTCCTTGGATGTAGGTGACCACCAGTTGAAGAGGCTGCCGACTATAGGAACATGTCTCAGGAGGCCCTGAAAAAAAAACGGCACGTTTGCCGGGTATCAAAAACAGTGGAATATCTTCAGGTGGAACTGTCCCAAGTGCAACTTAGCAAACATTGAACTGCATTTGCAAATTGTATCTTTTATCTCTTGTCTCCTAAGTGGTCTCCTTGTTTTCTAAGTGGAACAGTCTTAAGCCACCCCTTGAATTTCTACTTTCTAGGTGGAACAGTCCTCCCTCATCCATTGAAGTTGTTTCTAAGTGAAACACTTTTCCCCTATCCCTTGAAGAAGTTCTTTTTACAGTGGAGCTGTTAAAGGCTAGGTTCCCCAGAATCGTGTCTGGTACCAAAGAAATGTCGACACAAACCAACACGAACCTCTGGACAGCTACCGTCATCTATAAGCGACGGCGGCAACCAGGCAACCAATCTGGTTGCCGTTGTCGCTCATAGATGGCGGCAACCTTTCCAGCTATCATAGAAGAATGGATAGTTGGGATGGATGGTGGGACTTTACCGTTGGAAACAGCGCGCAAAGCAGACGAGGGCGAAGAAGAAACATACGAGACGAGCGCAGTACGAGCGCAGCGCACGTCTTGTGTGTTTCTTCTTCGTCGTCTGTTTTGCGCACTGTTTCCTATGCTCTTATCAGTTCCGGTTTGGACTCATGATGGGTCGGTCGCGTGCCCTTTCTTCAGGGGAAGAAGACCGGGTGCGGAAGGAGCGGCGACGAACGCAGCGTGCGTTGAGCGCTTCAGATTCCATTGCGAAAGAAGAGCAGACTGCTCGCCTACCGGAAAGCCACCTTTGAGAACAGAAGCTACAGCTCCGCTGCTCTTCCTTCTTCACCAGAGTGGAAAGGCTGAAAGTTTTTAAATTAAACAGACTTTCCTTATTCCTTGAAGTACTGCTTCATAAGTGGAACAGTCTTGCCTTAACTCTTGAAACTTCACTTTAAGATTGAGAAGTGTCCTTCCCCATGAGTGAGCACCTCCACACATTCAAACTATGCTTGTCTTTCCAAATAAATAATATATTACACATATGTCAACAACACATCGGGGGTTTCTACCTTGTGCAATATTTCCTGTAGTGGCATAGATGCCAAAATGCGCAGATTGCTAGTGGGGTCTTTCAAAATGGCTACTGCAATTGTTCCTTCATCTCCATACAAGAATTACATTATTGCTTCATTGTGCATGCATATGCAAGTTCTTGGTAACACATTGGCCCATTAATGGCAACACATCGGCAGTTCGTCGGCCATATTACAGCCCGACCTAACCCAGTCTAAAAGTGGGCCCAAAGATGGGCCCCTATGGACCTTGAATGAACCGAAAGTGGGCGACTGAAATTTTTCCCCACTCACTTCCTGCATGATCTTCTCTTCATTCTCTTGCTGCAGTCCCTTGCTGGCCTCCTGAATGCCCTGCTTCACCAGCTCAGACATGGACTCCAGGGCCTGGAACAGGGCAAAACAGCTCTCTGAAGACCCAGAATTATCTTTATGTCCATCAGGAGAAAGGAGGCAAGGTCGAAGTGCCGAATAAGGGGCTGCTCAGTCACTCATATCTTCAATATAAATGTTGTATAAAGGAACCATTAATTCCTTTATTTCACCAACCCTTTGTGTTTAGCACAAAATGTATCATGGGCCTGGCTTTCATGAGAGAAGCGTTATGCTCGACAGACACACAGGCCAAGGTCATATAAGCAGCATACAGTCACTGACCGATTTTTCGGATACTTATACTTCGGACTCGTTTGATATTTTGGACTTAAAGGAGGAACTGTGACTTACCTGATAAAAATAGTGCATATTCCCGACCGATGTTTCAGACAGCTTTAAGTCCGAAGGTTCAATATTTCAGACAAAATCGTCGTGAGCAATCAGCGGGAAACACCACCGAGAAGCCGTCATTCAGGTTCTATGCTGGCTGCACATGGATTGGCTTGGTTTGGCAGCACTACTAGAGTACTGCTAAGTCCTACTGCTAGGTGACGCTATGCTATGGCTTTTTTAACTGCGCATCATTATGATCATCGTTGTTACCATTTTGCTTTGTTCATTTGCCATTTTGCAATCGTGGACTTGCGCCCCTCATCTCGTCTCGGTGAATGTGTTTTCGAACTACGCTGGCTTGGATGTCATGGCCCCATCTGTTCTTCCGCCACCGCTAAGTGTCGCTAAGAAGCACGGAAAGTACTTGGTCATGACGCTAGAAAAGAAGGCAGCAATTCTCAAGCTAATAGAAAGTGGCCGAACGCAAGCGTCCGAATAATAGAGCAATCCAAGAAACGAGCATATTAAAGAACTTGCCATAATTACGTCTAAGCGAGCTTAAAAAAGCCGTCAATAGTGCCTTGCTTCAGGTTACGCCACGTAACCTGAAGCAAGGCACTATTGATGGCTTTTTTAAGCTCACTTAGACGTAATTATGGCAAGTTCTTTAATGTGCTCATTTCTCGGATTGCTCTACTATTCGGACGTTTTTTCGGCTCCTGAGAAGTCCAAAAAATCGGTCGTCGACTGTTGCTCCGTAGGGTTAACATTGCCTATATAATCTTGACAATTGTAATGCTGCAGAGGCCTTGTCAAGACAAACTTCCGACTTTTTGTCCCTGCAGCCTAAGTCACTTTCTGATGTGAAATAAAAGATTGATTGATTGACATCAGGGTGCCATGTGACTCTGTAACATCTCGTGACACCATGACATTCTGTGACGTCACGAGGTCACACGACTGTTGTCATATGACATAATGTGACACCGCAACTTCACGTGATGTTCCATGCCGTCACAAAGTCGCGTGGCCTCATGATGTCACATGGCATCGCGGCTTATTTGCAAAGTGTGTGCGTTCCGTGAGTCTCCAGAGTTTGCTAGATATGTATGTATGATCAAGAATGTCATGCAAATCTCCGAGTGTGGGGTGCAAAAAGAGTCCAAAACAGTAAGAGATACAGACAAGAGGGGGCGACAGCGTATCTCTTACCATTTTACCTCTTTTCCATTCTAGTCTGAAGGTTTTACACCACGTTCAATATAGGCCAGTTTGCCTGCGCTTTAAAGCATGTTTTCGATGATCAAGACACGTCTTAAGTTATAACCAATCTTGCGTGAAATTTCCATGTCCCAGAGAGCACAGCTATTGGCAGACCCAGAAAAAGTGCCCATGTGCGTACCTTTGAAGACTCCTCCAGCTCCATGCCTGCGGCAAGCACCAGGCCCACCAGTTCCTCCACGTCCAGGTCGTCTGTCACCATGCCGAAGCGCACGCAGCACATGCCGTCATCCCCTTCCCCTGTGCAGTTGATTGTGGGGAAACACTTTTTTTGGACAACTTTCAATCCACAGGGCACCCATGTGCAAAATACAGCTCATTTACGCAGCAAGAGGGACAGAAAAGCAGATGGCATCTAAACCACCTTAGCAAAAGGCAACCACTCCTACTTAGCGAATGGCAGCTGTTCCCTCAAACTGCACACAGCTTTTGGGATGAATATAAGAGCAGTGGAAGCAATTGTGTTTATACGTTTGTTTAGATGGCAATAAGTAGGCCCTTTCCAGTGGGTGTCTGGTGTCTCTACTATAGAGGAGAAATTTAGCCAGGTCAGTACTCATGTTAGCCTGGAATCTACAGTGTAGACCGCATATAACGTATGTCGCGGGAGTCGCGAAAATCCGCACTATAAGCGGTACCGCGCTATAACCAAAACATCAATTTTTCAGGCCAAAATATACATGCCATGAGACAACTTACCTTTGCAAAAAGAATTTATTTTATCTTAGATGAAAAATAAAGCTTAGTTTGAGGAAAGTCTTTATTTCACCAGACTAGTACAGTTCTGTCTCAAGTGTGTCACACATTTTGAAAGGAATTGGCGGCTTTTGCCTGGCGCGGCCTTTTAACGGCATCGCGGGTTGCGGACGGACGTTGCGAGAGTTCAGGATTGCTAACCCTAATCACTTTTCTCCGGAGATGAAAACGCGTGAAAATTCGCATCCTTCATACGGTACGCGCCAGTAATACCTTGAACTTGAGCACACGCATGAAGTGCGCCAAATAAGAAATCCGGGCGATGTGCGAGGACACAAATGCTTAGAAATCACCACTGTAGTCGAAGTAAACAAGCACGACGACACGGGCGTTTCTGCCGTCTTGAGAGCACCGCCACGACATCGCCACACGAGTAGGTGGATCTTCCCTTCTAGTACGTGCTGGGTTATCATAACGACACACAACGAAAATTCACAGTCAAGGATAGCGCTTTTACGCAGAACGATGAGATGAACGCCGTCTACGACGACGATCACAACCGACGCCATGTTTACGGATAGAAGCAGCCGGCCCGCGACCAGCATGCAACGCGCGCGAACACTTCTCCTTGATCTGCGATTGGTCTGTCGGTGTGGTTGTTTGGTTCTTTGTTTCCAACGCAGCGGAGGGGCGGAGGGACGCATGCACGTGAACGACACGTGCGTGCGTCCCTCCGTCGCTATGGCAACTGGAACCTCTCTCTTCGCTTCTCTCCACTTCAAGCAACGTCCTCGCCCCGCGCCGTCAGCGCCGTTATCTAGTGTCGCACACGGAAGCGTGCTCGCTGCTCCGGTCGTCGACGCGGTCGGCGGGCTGTGCCAAAAACCGCACTATAACCGGTATTTCCCTTCGTGCGCCTGCATTTTAAGCGGTATGTAAATAAATAGAGTTCTATGGGAGGCGAACCGGTGGTTTAAAAAAACCGCGTTATACCCGGTCCTGCACTATAAACGGTTACGTTGTAAGTGGTCTATACTGTATAATGCAGGTCAAACGGTAGTCACACACGACCGCACACCGGTGTGATGATCATCCAGATCGAAACGGGCAAGAGTGAGGATTGAACCCAGGATCCGTGGGTCCTGTAGCGCGAGCCTTCGCTCTACAAGCCCCCAGCTGCGCTGCATTAACGCACTCGATCAAGATCACTGATCACTCTTTTGAAAGCAGGCTGTACCACTTCAAAGGACAAGGGCTGCAATAACAAAATGTATTCTCTGCACTCAGCAGAAGAGATTCACTCCGGCGAGCCAGGCAACGCCTGCCGTCGTTCAGCAGATGACATCTGCTCTCGGATGAAGGAAGGCATTTGCTCCTGCCCAGCAGAAGGCATCTGCTCCTAACCAACAAACAGCAGACACTTCCGCCTAGCAGACGGCGCTCGTCTTCATGGCAGAAGTGTTGGAGCAATCAAAACCGCAAACCTGTTTGCAGGTGAAGAGCGTCCGCAGGAAAAAGGCAGACTAACTCACTTTTTCCTTCCACTTAGCACAAAAGAATGACAATCGTTTCCGGTGTTAGCCGAGTCAAAAAAAAAGAAGAGAAAAGGGCAAACCAGCCACACCCTTGCTCAGCATTTCTGAACTTGGGAACTACCGTTTGCAACTCCAACCTTTGAAGCCTGAGTCGCTTTTTACCTGGTGACAATTTGTGCGACCGCTCTAGCTGGTCACAACGTTGCCGTTTCTCAGCTTCATGTTTTCGCTGCCGACTGGAAAGCGTCACCCGTTTAGAGCTAATATTACAGCCATTGCCACCGACGGGGCAAGAGCGACAGGGCGCCTCTTTCTGACGCTCGTTTCGCGAGCCTCCAGCACACGCTCGAGCTTCGCGAGACGCCGAAGTGTGGTCGAAGTTAGGGAGCTCGCACTGGGGGTGGGACAACTGAGAGACCTCCCTGCTGCTCTCATCCTGTCAGTGGCAACAGCTGCACAAACAATAAACATTTCAACTCTACAATCTTCATATTTACATTAGTGGCAGGGACAGCCCAACTAGCGATAAAAGGAAAGGGACATAGAGAAAGATCCGGTAAAAATCTGCAAGCTTCCTCGAAACAAAAGTACCAACGCGACGGCAACGGTGAAAGAGTGCGAAGGCTTCGGCTCACCCAGCGAGAAGGCGGAGTCTGTGCTCTTGAGCTTGAGCACCAGCTCCGAGTTTAGGCGGTTGATGTCTTCGCGGCCGGCCTCGTCCAAGGGCTGGCCCAACCAGGGCCCGGGAATGTAGCGGACCCCTCCCAGCCCCGCCCAGTGGCACACCTCCACCAGGGCCAGATTCTCGTGGTGCTCGAGGGCACGGCGAAACTTGCGCTTCTGACGCACCGTCGCATTCAGGATGGCCTGCGAGAGACATGCAGTTCCACTATTACGGGACCCCCCAGTTCGCACCTAACATTCTGTCTCGTGTGTGTATGGGCAAACTCAGACTGCATATGTACAGTGTGCTCAACTGTTAAACATAACGCGGGAGCGCTGGCCGGAGAGACTGCATGCGTCATCTACCGGCTCGCTCCGGCAGCTAATGCCGCTGTCGTTTTCTGGAGTTACACACCCAGCTCTGAAACAATCACCAATGCGTGACTCGGCGATAAAAAAAAAAAAAAAAAGTCGCTCTTAGATTTTCTTTTTGTTGTTTAAAGAAGGTGGCCTTTATAAGAGAAACTGCAAGATCACCGAGATATGGTAACCCCTCGTGTTAAATGCGTAAGTGTGACTAAATACACGTCATGCTTGGTTGATAAAGCACTACGCATGACACTCAACAGGATAAATTTCTCGTCCTCTCTTTCATTGTAAAACGGAAACTTCGTTTCTCTGCTCAGCTTTAAGATGCCCCTGAGAATATCAAACGAAAACAGGCTTCGCGTTATTGCAATGTCGATGTCTGGATTGCCCCAAAGAACCATTTCAGCACGGACGGGCATATCACTTCTGGCCGTAAACAGAATAATTCGAGCCCACCCGGACGAAAGAAGAGTCGAAGATGCACCTCGCCGAAGCCGCAGACGAGCAACCTCGATCGCAGAGGATCACCTCATTGTTGCAGCGATTGTCGACGACCCTTTCATGTCTGCGCAACAAATCAGACAAGCCTTGAACTTTAATATGTTCCTAAAAGCGATAAGGCAACGCCTCCGGAAAAGTGGACTGGGAAGCCGAATGTCTTGTCAGAATCCATTTTTGACAGCTCGTCATGGGGCGCTGCGGCTAACATTTTCACAGGAGCATCGGGCGTGGACGTTCGACGATTAGAGAGACGTCATCTTTAGTGACGAGTCAACATTTTGCACAAGGTTCGACCAAAGACGACGTGTGTGGAGACCGGACTGTCACAGGTAATGTGTTGAAGGAACGCAGAGTTTGTATAGTAGAAAACAAAAAAGGCGGGATGAAGGCAGGCAGGCAGCGTGTCATTGACACCTGCTACTTTTCAAGAAATAAGATTTTTTTGTGAACCCGTTTTACTAACACTTTTTGTTCTTCCTAGGTATGATCCTGCCTACTTCCAGCAAGTGCTCTCTAGTGGCCGGTGCTCTGTTAATAATATGGGGAGCTATTCCTCGGGATGGACTTGGCCCTCTCGTCAGCCTGGAAGGATGATTCACGGGAGAAGTATATGCTTGCCTGATCGACGACGTCTTGATCCCCTACGCCTTGGACGGGCCTTTCCCCGGTGGGGATTACATCTACCAACACGACCAGTCTCCAGTACACACTTCAAGAGAAGTCCGTCTCCTCCTCGAAGTGCGCTGCGCTCGAACGCTGAATTAGCCTCCGAAAGGGGCGGATATGAACCCATGTGAGAATGTGTGGGGCCTGATTAAAGCATCGCTAGCGAGGCAGCATGTCGTCGACGCCTGGACCTTGGACGGTCTTTGGCAGGCAGTTCGCGACGAATGGGACAGGCTGCGAAGGGACCCAGACTTTGTCACATCGCTGTACGACTCAATGCCGCGAAGGATGGAGGCAGTGATTGCTGTTGCTGGGAATATGACACGTTACTAACATGGGCATCTATCAGAAAGCTTTTGAGAATATGTCTCTTCACGAGATAGCATTTCCTATCGGCAAGCCCGTATTTTTCTTCACTCGTATACTGCTTCAATGATGTGCCGAACCGGCCTGCTAAAAACAAAGTAAGAAATGTTTTCAATATGTTTTGTCAAATTTCAAGGTCTGTCCCAATGCGACCAACATTAAAGGCAATAAGAATCGGTACCATGAATTTTGTATAAATCAGGGTTGGGCAGTATCGCGATACAAATGTATCGCGATAGTATTTTAGAAATACATTTCGTATCTGTATTTCTGTATCGCGATAAATTTTTTTCACCAGTATCTGTATTCCTGTATCGAAATACATTTCGAATGTTTCTTTGTATCGCAATACAATCAGGGTGAAATGTATTTTGTTACATTTGTTAAGAAATACTCCCGCCCCCCCCCCCCCCCCCCTTCAAAAAAAAAAGTCTGAACACATTTTTTTTTTTTTTTTTTACTTCTTAGGGCACCACAGCCAAGGAGATGCTGGGGCATTGTTACTATGCTGACCAAGGTTCCTTTTGATTCTCCAAACTATTTTTCTATGCGTCCTCTTCTCTCTTCTGAGAAGTGTTGCTAGTCGGGGACTCGAACCAGGTAGTGTGCCAGTAGTGGAGTCAGGGCATCTTCCGCCGCAGGTCCTTAGGTAGGGATTTCTTGAGTCATTGTTTGCTGGCATCTAATGCCCGCTGCTAGCTGTCTCTCTAGCCTTAGCTTACAGAGTACACCCAGCCGGCAAAGCTGAGTCACATTCCGTTGCAGCACGAGCCTGGCGGTGGCTGACTTGAAATAGTAGGAAGACTCACGCAGTGAAGTTCAACACATATTCGAATGCATCTGCGGCTGTGCTCGTAACATTGTACGGCTCAAGGGTACGTCATCCGCCGACGTGAACGTGACCCGCTGCTCTGGTGATCCGAAACCCAGAAAGAGGTCAGAAGTGGCCTCGCTGTGCCATCCCAGACTACGTACTCCCGCGACTCGTCTCGAGCCCGCTGTTTCTCGGACAGCTCGCACCTGTGCCGGCAATATCAGCTCACAATCCATGAGGTCTCTGTTTGGATAATGCTAGGCAAAACTTGATGACTGCAATCCGTGCATTGGTGGCGAAGGGTAGGTAGTAAGGACCCTCAGAACAAGGATGCTACTGTATTGTTTTTTCAACCATAACAGAAGATAAGGCATGCATTCCAAGATGCTTCATGTGGTTCACTCTTCTCGAAAATTCCAAATGACACTGCCTGCACAATCTTCAACAAGGTAACCTACAATAAAAGTATGTATTTTCCTTTCATACAGCAGCGTGGTAAGGTTTCATGTTCAAGGCCACACCTACAGATAAAGAATACTAGTTCATTCCACCGTGACGTCATGTGAAGAATGTTGACAAAATTCCCTCATCAGAGAGACAGGATGTCAGGGAAGGGACCGCGGTCAGCCCTTGATGGAATGTTTTTTGGGGCCCATTGAAGCCTCCTGGTCATCCTAAACCACTACCTTCAAGGCAAAGTGCTAAGCCTAGAGGAAAGTAATTTCGGGATCGAAAACTTCCACTTCAAACTTCAAGCTTCATCTCAGTTGACGTCTCAAAAAAATTTGAAAATGTATTGCACTATCAGTATTTCTGTACCTGTATTTCTGCCCTCCCTAAAATGTATTCCTGTATTTGTATTTCCAAATATTTTTGCCTCTTTTTAAAATGTATTTCTAATATGTATCGCGATACTTTTTTACATATGTATCTTAGTATCAGTATTTTAGCTACTATTTTAATGTATCCCAGTATTTGTATTTCCAAATACATTTTTGAGTATTTCTGCCCAACCCTGGCATAAATATAAATGTTGGTTGAATAATTGTTTATGGTTTCTTACTGTGGAAAGTAGTCAATTTTTGCGTAATAAAGAAATATAAGAGGTTCGGGGATTATGGTTTTTCTGCACGCTAGTTTCAAGAAGCGCTAAAAACGTATACTTTATTGCATAAAAGATGTCAAATGGAAGGCTAAACATGATACTGTCACTGTTTCGTAAAAGAAAGTCAATTCCTCTAACGCTTGCATTCTTTCCGCCAATAATATGTTCAGAATGATGAATATAAAGATATTGTTTCGCCGTCCTCACTCCGACTCATCAAGGATGGTAACAGGAATGCAGTTGTAATCAAACCCTAAACAGAGTGGCAAAAAAGACAGAACAAACAAGTAAAGATTTGAAGCGTGGGTGATAAAGAAAGAAACGAGGAGGGCATGCGATAACTGTATCGGGGAGTGTCGACAATCGCAAGAGGAGCCGCCTTATTCTCTGCTGCATCATTGGTTTAATCGCTAGACAGCGCTGATATCGGTTTCGACCACCGCTCCCGCGTTATATTTAACAGTTGAGCACACTGTACACATGCCTCCCTCGTGCGATGGAGGGAAGTATGGCACATGTGCCATACTTCCCTCCAGTGAAAATAAATGTTTGGTTCTAACGAAAAACTTGCCAAGTATTGTGGAAAACCGTTAATGAACTCCTTTTAGAAAGATATGAAGCAGGGGCAGCACTTTACGGCCGTCCAAAAAAACGCCCAGTTTGGTCGCGTTACTATACTCCGCGACAACTTTTCTTGGCAATGCAGTGGAAGGTACAGGCCCGCGTCCCCTCTCCCATTCTGAGTGTGCGCGGGCTCTCCTCCTCTCCCCGGAAATGGGGAACGAGGAGAGCCTGCGTACACTCAAAATGGGAGAGGGAACGCGGGCCTGTACCTTCCACTGCAGTGCCAAGAAAAGTTGTCGCGGAGTATAGTAACGCGACCAAACTGGGCGTTTTTTTGGACGGCCGTAAAGTGCTGCCCCTGCTTCATATCTTTCTAAAAGGAGTTCATTAACGGTTTTCCACGATACTTGGCAAGTTTTTCATTGAAACCAAACATTTATTTTCACTAATTAAAAAGTTCCCACGTAGCATCCAATGTCGTGCGAACATTCCCTGGGTGTTCTGAATGTTGAAGGAACGTTAAAACGCCATTCGGAACATTCTAGGAACGTTCGTATGCGAACATTCCTTACAAGGTAGGCTGCTCAACATTTTAGAAACGTTTGTTGGCGAACATTCGTATGCACAATGATCTCGGAATGTTCCCATTTGAACATTCATATGTGCAACATTCTTGGAACGTTCGCTTGCGAACATTGCTAGAATATTCGCAGGTGAAGCCAACTTTACGGAGCTTTCAAGCAACCTGTGTTTCGAACCACCATCCACTATATGCCACCTTGTGCCAAAAATATGCAAATTAAGTGGAGTTTCTGGAAACTTAGCATAGGGGATCAGTTTTATCTTATACGAGTCTACCGAGGAATGTGAGATAAGGTGTAGGAGAAAAGCAATGGTCTTCAAAATTTTATAATGAGCTTGGCACTCACTGCGTATGTAGAGGGGCAGTTTTGAATGGACCCGATTTTTACCATCTCGGATTCAATACCTAGAAAAAGGTATGTCCCGCTTAAGTGTGGGATGCCGTAGGTGTCTGTTTTTATGCTCGGAGTGAGTGATCGCTTATGTATGCAGCACGTTTTGATAAGCAGGAGTTAACTGCCGTTATAGTACAGGCTCTGGCTAATGCGCTGGAACAGCGGCTAGATTGTGCTAGGGCTGGAAAAAATATATTTCGATTAAAAAATATCGATCGCTCTGTGAGGAGATTTATTATATCAATATATGTAGTACGGCTCAGTGGGGATGTAAGCTAAGCAAGCCATAATTGTGAATCTTTGTAAACATTCCTCAGAGAATGTTGCAGATGTTCTTTGGATGTTTTGGGAACGTTCTTAAAACCTTGTTAGAATGGTGATTAAATGTTCTGTCGTGCTCAGAACGTTCTAAAAATATCCCCTAGAAAACATTCCCCGAATGTAGCGATAAGTGCCTGCGCCGCATTCTGACAACGTCGATAGAATGTTCTTACGTAAATTTGCAACATTCAGAGAATGTTGCAGAAGTTCTTTGGATGTACTGAGAACGTTTTTAGAACCTTGTTAGGATGTTCCAATGTTGATTGAATGACCTGGTAATGTTCTATGTCGTTCTCAGAACGTTCTAAGAATATCCTTTTGAAGACATTCCCCGAATGTAGTGATAAGTGCCTGCGCCACATTCTGACAACGTTGACAGAATGTTCTTACGTAAATCTTCAACATTCCAAGAATGTTGTCTATGTTATTTTGAACATTCCCGGAATGTTCTCAGAACGTTCTCGTGCTACGTGGGTTAATCAGTAAATTTTAGTTAATATTTAGCTAGTTGGTATGTTTTTCGCAATTCATGAACTCCGCCGCGACTGGTAGTTTGTTCCCAAAAAGAGTTTTTTTTTTTTTTTTTTCTCAGTCAATCTAATTTTTAGGGATTTTTGAAAGCCTTTGCTGAAACAGCCTGTAGAAAAAATCTAATTGATTCCCATGAGCAAACAAGTGCATGCACATGAACTTACTACTTTCAAGTACTTGATTAATGCAGAGATAAATGCTCTTGTTCAACCGAGCTTTCTATCAGTACTTGGATGATTCCAGCATGCATCCAAAAGAAAAGAAGAGTGGAAAATACATACCACGGATATAACCATAGAGCAGGGGTGGCCAAGCTGCGGCTCGCGGCTCCCTCCCCTACCCCTCCCTTCCCCCCTGCTCCCTCCCGGTCACAGGAGCACTTCCCCCAAAAAAGAACTGAAATGTGTTTTAAATCGAAGCACAGGTTGCGGTTTGGTAGTCTTGTGCTACTGCTACCTTACGTGCACTTGGACTGCTTTTGACTCAGATAGATGGAAAGTAGCCTCAAGTTTCGTTTATTCCTCTGGACGAAATCCCCCCCCGCAGCTCTTGGAATTTTCGTGCTATTGTTTGCGGCTCTTAGGCCTGGTCAGCCTGGCCACCCCTGCCATAGAGCAAACGCAAGGAACATGAGTTTGCAGCCGTTGAATTACCTAAGCTCTCAAACTTGAGTTCACATGCATCATGACAATCTTTCAGACCTATGACCTTGCAGTGGTAGCCTTTAGTGCGATTGGACTATTGTACAGTGGAAGTAAGCAGTTTATTCCTGAAATACGCTGGATGCAATGACAAATTGACAGAAACAATGGTATAATTACAAAAGTGCATGGATCTAGAAAGTTTCACATAACATTGGAATGTCTGTCTACGTTGACCTGCGTGCTAAACGAATAAGATGAAAGAAGGTTCTTGGGCTTACCAACTGTTTCAGCAGGCACCCATGGAGTTCCTCCACGTCCTGAGTCGTTGTGCCGAATACTGCACGGCAAAATGACAAAGGTGCAACGACATTGGATTAGAATGTTTCTCACTTAACACAAGCTTTCACTTCACATGAGCTTACTGGAACAAGTGTGACCCAAGCACACTTGCACACAACGCTGCAGACCAAAATACTTCCATGTCAGGGCATAATTTAAATGATAAGAGCTGACTTTTTATTTCAGCCTCTCCGTCACAAAAATTTATGACGTATCACGAAGGGATTTCACCAAAGCTTCAATAGCCAAATCCAACCCACAGATTGGGCGGTAGCAATACGTGAGCACTCAATTTCGGCTTGTGACTATCAATGCCTCAACGAACATTCAAGTAGTGGCTCGTGTCCAATTGCTGCAATGACAGGAGTGGCCAAATCGCAATAATGTGTGGAACTCTGCATGTCTGCTCTGCTTGCCGACCTCTGCATCAAGCCATGGTGAACATTGGTGTCATATTATTAAACTAGATCATGTGCTTGCTATGGCTACGAGTTACGGGGGCGAGCACTGCTCGACTTTCCCCAATCTTTTCTGCGACTGCGGTTGCGTGTTGAGAAACACTTAACGCGTGCCTCGTAAGCTATGAACCCCATAAATTAATTCCAAGCAGTATTTACTGAAAGTATGAAAGGTTATTAAACGAAGCCACGGGTAACAGATATGCGGGCATAAAGGAACACTGACCGTGAGCGCTCTCGAGCGGGCAGAAACGAAGGCAGACGCCATGTTGATCCAGGTCAAGAAGGTCAAGGGCAGCTCGCGGAACGTCCCTGTTCAAGACTTGTCCCAACTGCAGAGGAATCACAAAAGATGATAGCCATAAGATAGCATTAAACCACGTGAGAAAAAATACTAAACAAAATAAAAAGGAACGTGCATGTACAGATTATTCTCTACGACGCTAAAATGACATTCCGGGAAAATGTCCAAACACAAGAAATAAACTAAGCACTCCACGCATGCGTGAAGCCGCCACAACTTTAGTTCACGAAGGCAGACGGCAGTGAGCGAGACAGCTCGTGCCGCCTTGTGCTCTTCTCGCGCGGACCTGCAGTGAGGTTGTCGCACGTGCAGAAAGGCTAAAGTCCTCTCGATGCGTCACGGGAGTGAAGGCGTTTGACAAAACTGGCTAGTGAGATCGATCTATTGCACACTCGGAAATTAAACACAAAGCAAAGTGCATTAGAAAAGACACCATCAAAAAATATAAAGATATAAAATGGGACAGGACCAGAATAGTAGAACAGAATCCCCTTACAGAAAAAAATAACCTCCTAGTGAAGCAAAGTCCGAGTATCCTGTAAAACTGGCAGAATACTTTAATGTTGAGTATGTTGGCAAACAGCCAGAAGATACATGAAAAAATGCACAAAATGACAACACAGATGCACAGCTTTTGTCTGTGTTGTCCTTCTGCACATTTTTAGATTTATTTATAGCTCAGTACAAAAAATCATGCATTAATTCAATCTTTGTTAATACAACTTTTAGTTTGATTTGATCACCCTCAGAGGTCTCGATAAACATCCATACATTTGTATGACAAATATTTTTTCTGTTAATTAGATAGCGAAAAGACTGAATTGTATCATTCAACCCAAGTAGATATGTGCATGCACATGTTGCACCACGCCACGGCGGTGGAAGAGCTGGCTTGGGGACTCCATGAACAACACAGCACGGGTATTTAGAAATAAAGCGGAGCATGCAAAAAAATTATAAATTAACAAATAATGATAATGTAGTGATTGCGCAGGCGAGCTGGTGGATGTTAACCATTTTGTTCTTAGCCCGAGACTGAGGCAGGAAGGATTCAGTCAAGTGTCTTCCGGGTGAGGGGAGCTATTGTTGTTGCTTTGTGGAAAACGTCAAGGTCGTTTGACAATTGTGGTGGAAAGATGTGAGACCTTTGTTATCTTTTGGCTTTTGAGATCGGGAAGGTTCTGTGGTGAAGTTCGTGGAGTGTATATAAGAAGGTGACCCAATAAACTTGTCTTTAGCTGTGTTAGAGACGTGTCCTCGACTGTTCATTTTTCTTCTACTTTGAAACTTTCCTCTTTTCCTGCCTCAGTCTCGGGCTAAGAACAAAATGGTCAACAAATAATATTAACTTATTAAAAAAAAAAATGGGTACATGGCCGCAAGCTTTAGGCATGCTGAATGGTAACACATCACCGAATCCAGTGAAATGAAATGCACATATCAAATGTAACAAATCACCGTGGCTGCACTGGACATGCGAGATCCGTCTTAAGATGACGGTGCGGGTGACATCATGTTGGTGTCGGACGTACTATGATTGTCTTGTTGGGTGCATGTCTCTTGAACAAATGGAGATATCTCTCTTTTATCATCACATTTGGGTTGGTGAGGTCTATCCAAGTTCGACATTTCAGCGATATGAATACAATAGGAATGAAGAAGGTCAATTTTAGGTGCAAGTTTCCACTTTCATGCAGAAATAGTAACACAGTAGTGTCACAAGTCATGTGTTGGCACCTACTGTGGAGTGTATGTCTATTCAACTTCGAAAATGATGCCAGAAACAAATCAATGAAACAGCACGTCTGCTAGAAGCAGCAAGTCCAGCTGTACTGAGCGCGCTTGGATGGCTCATAAGAAGCGCCGTCTCACCCCACGCCTGCGCAGAAGGGGAATGAATGAGCGTGTTCCAAACGAGTGAGGCATCGAGTCAAGGGCGGTAGCTACCTACATGACGACATGAGAACCATTGCTTTCTGATTTATAGACAGAGCAGTAGGCTGTTATAGTGAGGTCTATTTTCGTTGCACAATGTTTCTGTACATGCACCCCTTCGGGTGAGACGCTCTCACATCAAAATCGCACCGGAAGAAATAAACCATTGTTTCAGGCACGTAGCCGGGGGGGGGGGGGGGGGGGGGGGGGTGTCCATGGGGATGGTTTGCAACGCACCCTGGACTTGAGGTTGTAGAGTTTGTTCATCGCACTGCAAATTCAGAGCAATGCTTGCACTTTTTTTTTCTTTGCATTGGCACCCTCCACAGTATGCTTTTAGATGCACACATTTTAGCACAAATGGGAGCAAATTATCGCAAACTACTAACAAAGGTCGAGCTTGGCTCAAGCCATTTAGAGCCCCCTGTATAATTCGACCTTCAGACAATTAAACCCAATTTCAAGGCCACGCCGCGGCCAATGTTTAGCGTAATCGGTAACGTGCACAACACACCGATAGGAAAACGTCCATCTTCGATTCACGAAAGGGCGAGTGAACTCACCCAAGAGTTGAGGTTGTTCTGGTACGAGGGGTCCTTCGAGGCTGACGATTCAGTCTCTCTTGGGTGCGTCGTTTCCTGTTCCTCGCTGGTAGGCGACTCTGCGGTCGTTACTGGCTCGGACTGTTCCTTTCGGTCGACTGCTTCCGGTCGGCCCTCTGCTTCCCTCCCCTTCTCCTCTTCCACCTCTCCGTCTGACTTGCAAAATTCATCTGTTTCGCCGTCTTCGTCAGGTATGTACCGAAATGTCACCACAGGAACGACGACGTCAAACAGCAGCTGCGAATAGGAGAGGTTACAACTGCAAATTAATCGAGGGTTGTGAAATCGAGGCGCAGCTCAAATTTGGAACCTCCTATGTCTCCTCGTCAATGCTCAACGACAACCCTGGTGTGAACACCTGACTTTGCAAACTAAAGCAAGTTGTGTGCAGGGGCTTTTCCTTTCGTGCAAGATCCAGCGGCAGGAAAGCTGCAGCCACGATGCCATTGCTGTGGGTATCGCTTCGTCGCAGCGAGCCCGTGCCAGGGACTGGAGCGCGCTCAGCGGAACTAAAATCCCCCGTCTTGTTAAACTTGAAAAATATCCTAAACTTTTGAGAAAAATATATTTCGGAGCACATCTTTCAAAATCAAAGTTAAAAAAGTCAACTACACTGATGCATGATTCACTACCTTAATGTTCCAAGCATCTACACACAAGAACACAACCATAAAATGCCGAATTTGTCAGTTTCTTTTTTTTTGTTTTTGCATCAACCAACAGATTTTGGGTTTAGGAAACAGAAAAGACATGTTGCCCAGACACACGCCTAAAGAATGCTATGATCCCCATTAAAAGCTGGTGCAGAAATCACTCCCCCAGCAAACACAACAAGCACTTTATTCGTCCGGTGACTACAGCACAAATTACAACGGAGACGCAAACTCACCAATGTACCAACCGACTTGGTGACTACGTCGGCCAACGTCAGCACCTGGCCTTCCTTGGACACTGCTCGCGGCCTTCCCTAGAAAAACAAATGAAAACAGCCTCGCACACCCCTTTCGTGCAAGTGAGGACCTGCGAGTCGAAATGAGCACTTACCACAACTTCGATTCCTGGCACTTGGTCCAAACGCTCACGAAGCATTTCACTCTGCAAAAGATTGTGCACAATCTCAGTTCCCAAGCTGCACACAAAAGGAGTCCTATGTGCGCTCCAGACGCGAAGTTGGAAAAGTTTCCAAGTTGCACGTGAAACAAGTCTTATGTGGGGTCATTTCTTGCAACCAATATTTATTACCAAAAAGTGCAATTCAAAACGAAAAAACATTCAGCCTTTCCACTCTCGTGAAGAAGGAAGACCAGCGGAGCTGTACTCGATACACTGCTGCAATGCGCACGCGCCCCAATTCCCGCTTCTTGTCTGACACACCGCCGTTCGTGGATACGTCTCCGGCGAACCAGAGTCGGTTGCACACGGCGCACGTCACGCCAAACGGGTTCTCCACGAATTCCCTCCGGAACCTCGCCGTCACACCCGGGAACTGTTCAGCCGGCGTGGAGTGCAGTCGTTGCCGGGCCTCGCGCTTGCACTTGGCCTCCGTGGGACGATCATCGTCCGTGGAGTTGGCCCACCAGCGCCCTTTACATCGCTGGTTCTGTTCTCGGCGGCGGCTTTCCAGGCGAGCGATGTGCTCTTTGGCAAGGGAAACTGAAGCGCTGGACGCAGTGGAAGTCGAGGTGAAAGCGGCTTTGCGGCGGTTGCGGACCCATTTGCGCTGCTGCGTACGTCGCCACTCCTTCCGCAGCCACTCTTCTTTCCCCGAAAGGGTGCGCCGCCGACCCATCGTGAGTCCACACCGAAACTGATAAGAGCGTAGGAGCGTAGGAAACAGCGCGCAAAACAGACGAGGACGAAGAAACAAACGTGACGAGCATTGCACTCGTTACGTGTGGTTCTTCTTCGTCGTCGTCTGTTTTTTGCGCTGTTTCCTATGATGAATTCCCACCAACGCGCCCAACTATCCATTCTCCTATGATAGCTGGAAAGATTGCCGCCATCTACGAGCAACAGCGGAAACAATACTGGTTGTGTGCTTGTCGCCGTCGCTTATAGATGGCGGTAGCTGTCCAGGTAGGTTTGTGTCAACACACCGGACACGATCCTGGGGAACCTAGCCCTTAACAGCCCCGCTGTAAAAACGAAACCAAATGCTTTGCTAATTTATGACTTCCTACACACCCCTTAAGTGGGGAGTCATTTTTGAGTGTGCAACCATGCCTCGGTTCTTTTCCCTAAAAAATACTGGAAAACTATTTAGGCACTAAAAATTTCCTTTTTAATATAAAGGAATAACACATTGCTCCTTCTCGTGCTGCAGTACAGAGAAGGGGAGGCATTGTTTGTTTTTACATGTTTGTACTCCTATAGTAGATCATAAAAGATGGGTGTTTTCTTAACTGGGTTTAAGGAAAAATATAAGGCCGGGCAGGGCTCGTGAATAATGCCAAGTTTTTGCTGTACCTGAGCATGTAATTAAGACCATGCATTGTCATCACTTTGCTGAAACAACGTCATGATTCCTGCACCCGACGAAACTTTGCGCCACTTCCAAAAGTTGATGATCCAGAACGAGAAACAGATCAGACATTTCCTACCAAAGTCATTCAATTATTTAGTCAGCCAGCGAACGCAAATAAATCTGAACGTGTTTGCTATTGTGTTTGATAGATGGAAGCACCTAAGTAGAGCTCTGTTTTCAGATAAATTCAAGAAACAAAAACACAAAGCACTTGCCGGTCAAATTTCTGTTAATTAAAATTTATCCAATAAAACTCAAATATTAAAATCAAATGTATAAAAAAAATATTCACAGGGTCTTTTATGTTATCTCTAAAACGACTTGAAGGCGAAAGCCCAAGCGCCAATGCATTAAAGACAGGAATATGATTTACTTTATTCACTTTGATACCTCTTAATTCGATTTGTCATCCTTCTTAATTTCATCACCTCTAATTCGCCTGAGCGGTCACGTAAACGTGATAGCGAACCTCCGAAGACAGTGCGCTTTCTGTTGATGCGCTTTTGGAGCCGTTAACCTCGCAGTATGTCGCATGCTCACTCTTCACCGCCGCCCGAGCGAGTGTGTCCTTCTCTCCCACTGGTTTAGCACCGCACGCACGCCTCCATCGATTTTGGCACAAGTAACGCCATCTCGGGGTCCAGTGGCGAACCGTGGGTTTTCGTATCTTTCGTGTCGCCGGCGTGTTTTCATGCTTTTCGTGTTGTCGATGTGTTTTCGCTCAAGGACTTTGAAGGTCGACTGAACGATTAGACATATAAGGCTTTCGCCTTAAAAACCTTAATAAACTACAAAAAGGTTTGGTACAGGGCCAGTCAGTGATCCTGAGCAGAGGCCACTTCCCTTTCCTTCACCTCCCGACAAAAGCCACTGTTCCAGTTTCCAGCTCGAACCCTACTAAGCAATATACAAAACAGCGTGCAAAACCACTAGGACGGAAGAAAGGAGAGAAATGAAGGAGAAAGGCGAGAGGGAGGTGATGTCACAAGGCATAAGCCAATGCGGGCACGGATGCTGGGGCGAATCTGAACTTACAGGTCTGCGGAGTGCGTAAGCCTAGGTTTGCGCTACAAAACGGAGTATAATCCAAGTACTAGCGCTAGTCCAAGTAGGCGGCAAAAGAAGATAGACTGTGAACAAAGGAGACGGGATTCTGCAACATATAATGTGTCTTCCAAGAAAGATACACAGCATATGTCACAAAACACCCTTCATAGAGATTTTCGAAAGAAACCTGCAAAGCTGGAAAAAATTAAAGGAAGGTCCATTGGTGGATCCTTAGGGAATGCATTAGCATGACCCATGGCAAACGCCACGCACGTCCCCTTTTGGGAAACGCTAACACTGACCCCGTAACGGAGGAGCCAAAAAGAGGCAGCAAAAAATACACGCAAAAGAGAAATCCAAAACAGAAAAGTGATGGAGTCAGTTTAGCGTTTCCTGAAAGGGGACGTGTGTGTCGTTTCCCAAGGGTCGTGCTAACTCATTCACTAAGGCAGTGGTTCTCAACCATCATGTTTCGCGGACCCCTTGTGGATCGGCGGAGATGATGGAGGACCCCGTTCATGGTGAGGGGAAGGGAAAGGTTAGGCTAATTATGAGAATAATTTAACAAATAGATATCACTAAGGACTAGTGTGAAGTAGACTTCTCTAAAACACGCGAAAAAACTCACCCGAAATTTGGCACGTTCCTTCTCAATGTGAAGAGAAGACAACATTTATTGACGAAAAGGCAAACAGCGCACAGTAAACGGGGACTAAAGGAAGTGCAAACAGGACAAGCGCTGTGGGTAAAGTAAGTAAAGAGATTGCTTTTTGGGACACGTGGTGAATGTATCATGTGACGTGGGCGGGGTTGCTGTTTTCTTTGATTTGTTTTCATTAGCGCTTGTCCTGTTTGCACTTCCTTTGGTCCCCGTTTACTGTGCGCTGTTTGCCTTTTCATCAGTATGAACCAACTAACCCACATCGCCGCCCTTATTTAACTTTTATTGCCGGGCTTGACTGGTGAGACAGGGCTTTGCGGGCCACCGTCTGAGAACCACTGCCCTAAGGATCCACCAATGGATCTTCTTTTCTTTCAAATGTTCCGATAATTTCCTGGCTGTCTTATCTGCCCCTCTACAAGGATTGTGATGTCGTCAAAAAGAGGATGACACAAACAAGTGCCGCAGTGCAGGGGTAAATGACCTCCTGCTGTTGATCGAAGTGACCAATCATGCTCCCGTGCTCTATCATTAATATACTGGCCCGTTTGTGCAATGTAGACCCTCCAACAGCTCAGCAGAATCTTATATGCCCTGCCTATCGCACCTTCCCGGTACAGCGTAAACTCATTATAACAGACCTTGATAGTAATGAAGAGTTTGGTCACTTGAAAAAGGTGTATGCAGAATCCAGACACTGTTACTACAGGCTTCCATCTGGTTTATGACTGGAGCCTGGTCTAACCACCACGACTGACAAAATAGGAATAGAAATAGCTTTGAGCAACCTTAACTGCATGGCACATCCCGCCGTACTCGACACGCAATGATGATCATAGCACACTTTGGGTAACATGAGGATCACGAGGGAATGAGCGCATGAGTGCAATGGCAGCAGTACGTAAAATTGATGCCAACACTCCCAAACAGAAACCATGCAGTGTTCCAAATAATGACAGCTGCTGAAAAGTAAATTATAATGGAATGAAGAACTAATCACAAACTCTCTAATATAGTCCTTTATATCTGAATGTATGTCATAACGAAATCTGTTATAAGCAAAGTTTGGGCCATGGCATAGATAAGAGGACCAACCAAACTTCACAAACCGGCATGTTATAACCAAATGTCTGTTGCAAGGAGATAATATTACTTGTTTTTCTGTAATGATATTGCTAGAGCACGGGAGCATGAGTGATTGCTTCGACCAACAGTGGGGGAGGGGGGGTCATTAACCCCTGCACAGCAGCAGTTGCTTGCGTCCAACTCTTTTCTAAAACATCCCAATCATTGGATAAAAGGTACATAAGATAGCCAAGAAAATATTAGGAGTAAATGAAATACATAAGCAAAGAGAAAAACAACTGCATACGTCAAACTTCTGTTTACCTGCACAAAAAAGAGATAGCGTACCATCGTACCAACACATGTTGGTACGATGGTGATTTGGTTGTTTACATCACTGGGCTTCTTTCAAGAAATATTTGGTTGTCAGTTCGGCACCGATTCTGTACTTTTCTCTCCCATCCTCGTTGTGTTGTGCGCTGTTCCATATATTGCTTACACATGAACCAACTTGCCCAAGTCGCCACTCCGACCCTACTATTTGTACGGACATTTGGGCGAGTTGGTAGGAGTTCATAATGAAAGGCCAATTCGCCCAAATGTCCATTCTAAAAAGTCTTATTTCTTCTAGAAGGGGCTCGTTTCCATGTTCTCACGACTTTGTCTCCAGTTTCTGTTCTAATAAAACCTCAGATGCTAGTCATCGCTTGTGTCTCTTCTTTGTCCTCGTCCCAGTTGTGCTGTTTTTTCACTAAGAACCTACTATCTGTGTTTCTCAGTGGGAGGAGCAGTTCTATATTATAAGAACTGAAAGCTATGAACTCATACATTTCTTGGAGGGGGGGAAGGGCAACTGAAATCACTTCAGCATTCAACGCTGCACAGCAGGCACAGTAGTGGGATGGGAAAAAAACAAGGTTCCCTGCGACTACGCCCAGGAGTTATTGCTTTCAAAGTACCGATATTCAGTGAAGTAAAACTTTTTTAAAGTTGTATCTTGGGACACCTAGTAATGCCAACGGCAAGAGCGTCAATGCCGAATCCAACAGGAGAATTAAGGCCCATTCACAATCTTGCGACCGAGTACAACCGAGAGAGACCAAACCGGTTTTTAAACCTCTTGCGATCTCTTAGGACCAGCTCGGCAGCATCGCATCTGGTCCTATGAAGTTGCAAAAGGCTTAAAAACCGGTCTGGTCTCTCTCTGTCTTACTCAGTCGCAAGAGTGTGAACAGCGCTTTATCGTTTGATAGAAGCGAGTTCCAAGGAACTTAGTGCACTTTAATGTCTGGATATTCTTTTTGATTGGAATTTTTAAACAATTTGGACCACAGCAAAACTAAACTGTTAATTTCTGAAAATTGGTAAATTGCCAAAAATAAGCTCAGAAAAAACCCTCCGAATTTCGCGAAAAATAAACTCGGGAGAACACCTATAACCTCCGTCGACAATTGGCAGGCGCTTCGTGGCGCGCTTTTCAGTTCAAAAGAACTGTCGCGCATTTTTGGATGCGCTCCCAATCTCAAAGGTCAAAACAGAGGAGCACGTCTAAGGGTGCGTTCCCCAGTTAAAGGGGTTAACTCAAAAGGCAGACGGGACGGCTCACCAGACGCAGGCAGTGCAGAACACGCTGCAGCAGTCCCTGGTGTCCCAGACTCTGCAGTCCCACCCACAGGGGGAGACACTGGAGCTTGCTGTGCACGCTGAACGAGCTCAGCCCTGCAGCGTGCGCCAGTGCGGCCTCCCCGGTCTTGTACAGGGTGACGTAGGGCACAGAGGGCAGGCCGAGCCAGGTCCCCAGGGGTAGGGACACGCTGTCCCCGGTACGGGCAGGCTGCGGAATACAGCGTGGTTTTTCAAACTAGGTCCCTAGCTACCCAGGAATTTTCCAGCATCGTGAAATAGGTTAGTTCTACCCTGCTGATGACCGGTCATTGAGATGTTCCAGAACCATTTCCAAACATACCCTTTTATTTAATATAATTCAGGACATAGCATAAAAGGCCAACAGTATAATTGCAATTTATCTGAATGGCAGCTACTGAGAAATGTCCTGGGGGTGGGTTGGTTCCTCTTATGAATTTCCAATAAAGGCATAGTTACAGTTCCGCGTTTTCGGTTTTTATTTTTTCGAAATTCGGCATACTTTTTTCAGTGTTTAATTTAAAATTCAATTTTCGTTTGTTTTTTCGGTGTATATTTATTCCCAAAAAAGTTTACCGTTTTTTTTCCGGTGAATATGAAAGAAACACTATCGGACACCGGATCAGATGATCCTTGTAGCTGTGATATTTGTGATCACTCAAAGAATAACGACACATATACATACGTGGTCTTCGCTACGACTTCCGTCAGGACACACCTCGAAATCGCGGAATTCGCAGGCATAATCTTCAGCGTGCTTCTTTTCCCTTCCCATTCTGACGACGTGACCGTCTGAGGTGATGACCGTACAGAAACCAGCAGAATGGCAAAGAAAAAAAAGTATTGAATTTATGTTTTCAACCACAGGAAAGTATGAGAGAGGGTACTAAGAAAGGTATTGACGGCTTTCCTCGATGTCCTCTGAAGTGCAAGAAGCGAAAAACCTTATACTAGTCCACATCTGAACTTTTTTTTAGGACTAGGAACTTGACACACTAATCCCAATCACAGAAAGGACAGTCTTGTGAAGGCCAATCCAAGACCTCTTTTTTTGCGTGCTGAACCTTCGAAGAGGGCGATCACGAAGACGTTACACAATGTCGAACCTTGCAAAGCCCTTTCTCTCTCTCCCCCCTCCCTCCCCTACCCACCTCGACGCGGCCCTAAAAAACGGACCTTTTTTTATTAAAACCGAATTTTAGAAAACGGATTAGACATACTTTTATCGGTTTAAACTGAAAACTCCGAACCCTAGGCATAGTCAACAAAAAAAGCACAACTTAAGCCTCATGAAAACAAAATGATGTGTCCATTTAACAATCCGAAATGCAAGTTCTATTAGTTGAAAACAAAACCATTTCAAGATGCAATAAATGGTATGAAATAAATCCCAATACTTACTGACTACAGTTTTCATTATTATGAGAAACAAACGTTCCAAGTTCCTGTTTAGCAAACATAAATGTATTTCAATACTCATGTAAACAGAATACAAATCTACTCTATCTGATAGAAGTACAAATGCAAAAATTTAAAACTTCAGGATATCGTCCCCATTCATACATATGCACTTAAGCCCTTACTAAAACAAACACGATTTATTAATAAGAAAACACTTGTTTAGGAGTTTGATAAAAAAAAAGTGACCAACAAAACTAGCATTTTGTTATAAAACGGAAGGTTTTCCTCACAAGTAAATTGCTTGGACACGTTCTAGCACAACAGTCTCGAATTTACGTCGCTCAGCAGGGATATTCCCACTGTTCTCCTTGTCCTCCCAGTAGCTTGCTGTTTGCGTGCCAGTGCGTGCATTCGCCATGTTTGTCATTTACAAGAAATTTTACAGATAAGGCAACCAATTATCGCTTTTATTGTTACGTTTAGCCCCGAATGAGGAGTGCGGAAGCAGTCTCAGCAAAAACAAACATCCTAAGCATGGAAAAAAAAAAAGAAAGCCAAATGTTTGTTTAATTTCGAAGTGTAGTTATCACTTTCCCCAGAGATTAGATGATTGATGAACACATGCCAGCAGGCTCTTAGGTATGTTTATTTACCGTAAAGTCCTGAAAGAATGCCCACTCAGAATGAAAAGATAAATAGTGAAAAATATGGATGAGTGTAAGTTATGTTTGAAAATGCGACAGCAAAAGCTTATGAAAAAAAGTGGTGATAAGCACGGGAGTGGGGGGGGCACTACAAGCTCAAGTGACTTGGAACGGCAACTCTTCAACTTCAGAACTTCCTATTTTTTCTCTCTCCACCACAGCCTCAGGATTTAAACATCATGATTAATTCTATCACCCGCTCGCCTGCACATTCACTGTCTTTTCACTGATGATACCACAGATAGCAGACACGGCAAATTCGCGTTCCACAGCGCGATAAATATGCGGGAATTCGCCATGAACTCAGCTATCACGGGTATGGCAGAAGAATACGGAAGCAGCGCTTTCATGCTTCACGGTGCTACAAACTCGGGTGTCATGGGAACCAATATCGCGCACGCAAATCACAAAAAAAAAAAAAAAAAATACAGGAAGAAAATTTTGTGGAAATGAGTTAGAAGTTCGTATGTCGCGGGAGCGGTCCGGATACCGCGGAGTGCGGACGCTGAAGGTTCGTGGGTCATGGTGCGATAAGCATGAAGGAACCCGCGGCGAACACGCTTGTCACACCGGTACTGCAGATCGTGCGGCAGAAGTGATTCCCGTTCGACATCACGTGATCAATGTACGGCGGGAATCGGTCGGGGAAGGGTGAGGTGGAGGGGAAGGGGGTCAATGTTTCGGAATTTTTATGTTGTGGATATTGAGCCCCCAAAATGGGATGGGTGATTTCTCGGGGGCAAGCATTCACACAAGACTTTACGGTATATGTACGCAATTTAATGCATACAGTATTTCTAATGCACACAACCATGCTCAATGCCACTGTGCAAAAAAAAATTAAAACCAATTATTGAACGACAAACTGGTGCGTGAGTTGCTCTGACAAAGGCACCTATCCATGTCCCATTTTCGGAGATCAGACACCTACACGCCATGGCTGGCCGAGCTGTGGCACTGGCGGTACAAACCAATGCGCCCAAACAAGTGCTTTGACGGCATATAGTAGTACGGGGAATGGAAGCAAACACAGGGATTTTATTGTGCTTTGTTCATATTCGTCCAGATATGGTATATTTCTGTACAATAAAAGAATCTACTTTTCTTCGTGTTCAAAGCGGACGACTTAAACAACAAACTCGCCATGTTCTCCCTTGTACTGCTGGTTCTTGACGGCTCACCAACATGAGACCATAAAACGAAACAGAACACTGTCTATTTACCTGGTCCAAAACAAATCATGGTCATTCTCGTTCGATGAAAATAGGCACTTGGTGCCTGTTTTCATCAAACGAAAGGTACTTGCTTTGACGTCGACACGACAACATTGGTATGGTGATGAATTCTAGATCGTTCCGATGGCTCCGATAACGATACCCGATACTCCTCCGCCGCTTTTGTGCGTACATCGCATCACTAGGGGGTGTCGGAGGTATCGGAACAATCTACTAAGACTCTCTAATCTAAATGGACACAACACAATAAACCACTGTGGCCAACAAAAAAAAAAATACTCCAACTGACATAAATTTTAAAAAAAATCTTTTCAGCTAGTTTTGGCGCAACATGTGCGCTTGGAAGCAGGATGGCGCAGCAAAAGCAGATTGGCGCACAATGGTGCAAGTGGCGCAGCGCTTCCACCTCTGGCTTAAGTCCCAAGATGAGGTAAAGTGACTCCTACGCCACTGGCAAAACATCAGGGGTTAATTTGAACCCCCTGGAGAGTAATGTTGCACATAACTCCAAAGATGGAGTAGAGCAACTCCCGTCATATCAGCAAAAAAAGCAAGGGTTAATCTGAACCTCGTGGAGCACAATGTTGCACGCAGCTCTCAACATAAAGTAGAGCAACTCCCGCACCACTGGCAAAAGAGCAATGGTTCAGTTGAACCCCTGGGGCATAACGCTGCACATAACTCTCAAAATGGACTACAGTGCCTCCACATGAAGCACAACGACATGCAGAAATCATGAGATGAAGTAGAGTGACTCCATCTGGAGAGTGCAATGTTTCACTTAACTCCCGAGACAGTGACTGCGGCACAATCAGCAAAAGGAGCAAAGGCTATATGGAACCCCCTGGAGCGTAACGTTGCACGTCACTCCCAGGGACGGAGTAGCGTGACTCCCGTCACTCACCAGGTTGGGCACCGAGACGAGGCAGAGTGCGGCCAGGGCGTGGCCCTCGACGTGCAGCCAGGCCTCGTGGCGCTTGCACAGTTCCTGCAGCCCCTGCAGGGGGTCCACCTGTCCCACGGCGGGGGAGCCCGCACTGGCCACCACCAGGGTCGGGATCTTGCCCTGGGACACGTCCTCGGCCAGGCAGTGCTCCAGGGCCTCCAGGTCCTGATGAGGCAAGACCAAATTTGCAGTAGACTCTCTAATTCAAACTCCAGGAAGCCATGAATATACTTTGAATTATCAAAAGTTTGAATTATCAGAAATTTATCTAAATATTATGCAAGATAAAATTATGATTTCCCATATGAATGGCTATACATACAAAGCAGATATCAGATTTCCTCTACATGGGTGTATCACAGTAAGCAGGTATGCCACACATGAAGCATTTGTGAAATGTATGATGCAAGTTTATCCCTCAAAAATGTTGTTTACTGCAGACTGTTTAGACAGCAAATGACAACTCAAAACAAATTCAAATTTGTTCATCAGGCCAATAAGTTGTCTAATGTGGATTATTAAGGAGGGGTCACATGAGCAGTGAACACGGGCACCGCACGGCAGTTTTCATAGCAACTTGCGTGGATGCTGTGACGTAAACCTATGCCACGCCGCCATGTCACAGCGTCCGCTGGCACCCGTTTTCCGCGTGGTGCCCATTTTCATAGTTCACGTGTGGCCTGCTTGAGCCCCGTTGAGTGCTATTCTCACCGAGCCTCGGAAAGAAGCGCACTCAACAGGGCCACGAGAACAAAAAGTATGAATTACAGTTAAACCTGGATATAACGAAATTGATAAAAATTTGCAATAATTCGTTATATGGAGGATTTCGTTACATGCAGTTTTCGCGGAAAAACTCGTAAAGGACACGTGGAGAGAAAGCGAAAATTAAAAATCCACGTGGGCAATTACATCATTTATTTAGTGGAAAAGAAGTCTGTAAGTTTGCGTTGTGCCTTTCGTGCGAGCGAAGGCAGCACGCAGCGCTCAAAGGACACCAAAGCGTTTAGAGCACTGTCGTCGTCCTGGGAGCCGGACATACATCGATGGCACCCAAGACCTTCCTTGCGGTAGACACCAAAGGCTGCTCGCCTTTGGTGGCAATTGGACAAGAATATATCTGCATTTTAGGTACAGTCACCATCCGATTATTCGGACTTCGCAGGGACCGAAAAAGCGTCCAAAAAATAAAGTAGTCCGATAAATGAGCAGATTGAAAAACTTGCTTTTATTACTTCCAAGCGGGCTCAAAAAAGCTGTAAATAGCGCCTTGTTCAGGTTACGCCACCGTTTCCGTTCGGCAACTTTCTGTTAGCTTGAGAATCGCTGCCTTCTTTTCTAGCGTTATGGTCGAGTACTTTCTGCGCTTCTTAACGACACATCGTGGCGGCAGAAGGACAGATGGGGCCATGACGTCCAAGCCAGTGTTGTGCGAACGAGATAAGGGCGCAAAACCACGAGCGCAAAATGGCGACTGGCGACGGGAAGGAACAAAAAACAAAGCAAAATGATAATAATGATGGTAATGATGACGTGCAGCTAAATGGGAAAATGTATGTATGTATATTTGCGGCACAATCTCTTTGTAACGAGAGTCTTGCAAGACACACCAATAAAAGCAAAAAAGAAAAAGGAAAAAAAGGGCTAGCATAGCGTTACCTAGCGCTAGGACTCAGGAAAGCCCAAGTAGCGCTGCCAAACCAAGCCAATCCACTGGCAGCCAACATAGAATTCCAAATGGCCGCTTCTCGATGGTGTTTTCCGCTGATCTCTCGCGACGATTTTGTCCGAATAATTGAACTTTCGGACTTCAAGCTGTCCGAAACATTGGTCGTGAATATACACTATTTCTATGGGGTAAGTCACGGTTTTGCCTTTAGGTCCGAAATATCGAACAAATTCAAATTATCGGAGTCCGAAAAAAAAAAAATGGAGAATGCGGCGGAGCGAGTTCGTTAAATCAAGGTTATCCAGTGCGGGTGCTTCGTTACATGGAGTTCACAAATACAAGCGCTTCTATGAAGATCGCGTCGGGGAATTAAAAAAGTTCGTTAAATAGAGGTTTTTGTTGTATACAGGTTCGTTACATCCAGGTTTAACTGTACACAAAAACGCCATTGGAATTATGAATACATTAAAAACGAGAGACAGCCAAAATTTTGAAATTTGTTTGAATTAACCGGAAGTACAAAATATCCGAGTTTGAATTATTGTGAACCTTATGTACTTCAAGTTTATAAAAATATAAATGTACAGCTATGTCTCGTGACCTTTTTACCTTTTGGTTTTGTTCCGTAAGTGACTAAGTACAAAAATGCAACTAGACATTTCATGTCACCAAAAACAGACCTTTTTTGCGACATCCACCCTTTTTGACGAGCAATTGAGCCACTAGTGTGTGCATGATTATGGCCTTGCTTGCAGGGTAGCATGCTTTCCAAAAAATACTATTGTACAGAAACTGGGATGACAGAGAGTATTAGAGCAACTTGCTATGACAAAATCTTTCTTTAAATCAACATGTTTATGGTGTTTCAGTGGTCATAGGACTCATGTTTCGTGGATTTCATGACGGCAAAATTTGATTAAAGACGACTGCAATGCATTTCACGCAACATTTTAATATTAGTGAGGCTGCGCAATTTCAAAAGCTCTAGCCAATAATGTTTCTCCAAGAACGAAACAAAAATGGACATTTTAGCTCCTCAAAATGAAAAACAGCTAAAACCCGAAAACTGGCTGTGAACTACGGTAAAAAGAACAAGACTCTCCAATTTCGTAAATGATCTTGAAGTTGAACTCACGGTCTGGTACAGCCTTCCTGGTGTCCTGGTCTGCGGTACCATCCTCAAGCAGGACAGAGGAAGACCCAACTTGGGACAAAAAAGAACAGGGAAATCAGGACTGTAATGCTGGCATTGAGAAGAGCAGCTCACCTCAGGTGGTGACACCCACCACAGAAAAGATGAGAACCCAGCATGGATGCAAACTAGCCACGGACAAGTAATTGCAGACTCATAACTGCCTAGGTAGATATTTCATTAACCGGAGGTAAGAACCTAGGTTCTTTTGCATTTTAATAACTTTAACGGATTTTTTTAGACGCAATTCCTAGCAACTTTAACAAAAACTAATTACAGTACCACAAAATGCCGTATTAGCGCCCTTCCACGAGAGATCATCCATCGCGTTTTCCTGGCGAAATATCGATGGCGCTAAAATTCAAAAGCATCGCCCTCATGCAATGTCTGACACGAATTACTTGAACTGCGCAATCTGCAATACCAATAGCTGTGACGTGCGAGTTCGTAGCAGGTTTCCAAGTGTTCATCACACCGTGGAACACGAATTTGCTAAGTCTGCCATCAGTAATAAAAATAGCTGCATTGTGTGTACGTTTATACAGAGGGAAGTTAGGTCAGGCCCAATGGGCATCTGGCATCAAGCCAGTAGACAAGAAAGATTGCAAGTGCAGTACAACTGCTGGCCTGGGTTCTAAGCGAGCATCGTGCAGCAGCAATGCACAACCACACTCCGGTATGATGCTCATCCAGATCAAAACTGGGCAGGGGTAAGTACTGAACCCAAGACACCTGGGTTGTGCAGAGCAAGCTTTCATTTATGCGATCTGCGGTATCAGTTCTCGTGACAAGAGAGTCCGTAGCGGGCCTTTGCGTGCTTATCGCACCGCAGAACCCGAGTCTGTGGTGATCGTGATCTGTGTTCTCGCGCCAATTCTTCCCAACTTGAAGTGGTGCATAATTACAAACAATAATTGAGGCTTTTCCGCTGAGCACAGGTATCGGGCTGCAACGGATAAACGCACCAATCTCACGGTTTGGTTGCTCTAGAAATGGTATAGCAACCGGGTTCTCAAATTCGGTCCTTTGAAAGCGAGAGGTTTCCAAGAGAACCCTCATGGGTTCCCCCATGCTCCCAAATTCCCTCGGCCGTCTCCGCCCCTGCGTACAGTGCTTCTCCTCTTCGACCACTATTTCCGAAAGATCCAAGCCACCCACAGATGCACAACTATGAAAACTATGAGCCAATCACTCCTCGGTATGCAAATCATTGTTTACAGGGCACGTGAACTTTTTCACCGCTTCATTCTAGAGAAAGAGGGGCTCCTCGAAATCGGAAAGAACCCACGCTGTCGTACATAATAAAAAAAATAAAAAAAACAAGCCGGAGGAAGGAAGGCAGTTAGAGGGGCCGTGCCAGCAGCACTACCTGTGAGCAGAGGTGGTGTCCCAGGCTTGCCCTGGTGTGCGCCCCCAAGTAGAGGACTGGGGGACGGGCAAACAGGGCCTCATAGCCGTCTCCCTGGGACAGCCGGGGGTACTTGGCGTGCAGAGCCAGGCGACACACCCGCACCAGCCCCTCCCGGGACTCCTCGTGGAAGTACACCGCCGAGTCGAAGAACCTGCAAGAGAAGGCGGCAGCCGTTTATCCGGCACCCCTCTTTGACCCTGAGGTGACAGGCTTTCTTTTTTTCTCACGCCGGACGCACACTTTGGACTCAATTACACAGAAGCATGCTCCGCAAAGAATGTTATTGCAAAATATTCTTTGGCTAGGTGTTTGGCACTTCGTGAAGCCCAGATAAAACCTTGGTCGCGAGGCTCGAAGATGATTGGTTTCGAGTAGGAGGGGGGGAAGAGGCTGTCGCAGTAAAAAAGTGTTTACGCCAGGCAGGGATTGAACCCAGACCATTTAGATTATTAAGCCAGTGTCCTTCCAACATGTCATGACACCTCGCCGTGAGTTGAGGTGCTGTTCTGCGGGAAAGCCCTGCAGGGCATCTGTTCTGCATCGAGCCCCAAATAGCAACTTCACACCCTGTCGCACGTTTTAATATGGAACGTTCTTTGGCTAGGTGTTCGGCATTTCGTGAAGCCTGAATAAAAGCGCGGCCGTGAGGCTCGACAATGATTGGCTGAGAGGTGAGAGAGGAAGAGTCAGGTGCTTGATGCTGATTGGTTAACAGGGAGGTTGTGTGACCAGAGGAGTAGGCGAGGACGAGCTCGACCCTTTGTACACATTGAGGGAGAGGAGCTCACGAGTATATGGAAGGCTAGGGAAGATTGCCAGGTTTATGAGCCCGATTAGCGGTAGTATCGTTTCATTCTAGAAACCACTATGAAGCGTACACATGGTATGCGTTAAACTATATGATGAAGAGCACCGTGAACGTAGTCGTCTGGCAACTCAAGAGTATTGCTAAACGTCTGCGACGCTAGAATATTTCACGTATGCGACACAATTGCCCAGCAATTTGCCATACATTTTATTTATTAATAAGAAAAATGCCTTATTTTATAGGCAAAAGGTTAATTGATGTCCGCATGCTCCCACCTACGACAAACTTCTCGTATTGTACTTTCCGAGACATGATACCAAGCTAGAGCCCTACGCGGATAACAGTTTGATTATCTGCCTCCGAACCGCATCCGCAAACTTTTTACATTATTGTACCCATCCGCATCCACATACTTTGTATCTGTATCCGAACCGTATCCGCATCCACATTTGACTCAAGATCCAGGCCTTAACTGTATATCCTGACACCAAGCGTGAAAGAAAAAATGTAAAAAAAGATACAAATAGCACTTTTTAAGTTGTTTGCTTATTTTTGTACAAAAAAATCTTCGGGTCACCATTCAAAGGGGATGTCATTTTATCATTATCAGTTTCATCATATTTATATTAAAAGCATCAGCCTTCCCAAGACACTGCATGTCGAAGGAAAAATGATCTCAGTTATGTGATTGTCCTAAAAGTCCGCGACACTCTGCCCTGAGAAAGTCTTCTGCTCTTTCCCTGCCAATGTACTAGCTTTCTCGGGACGACTGATGCCTTGATTCTTTACTTTTTCTATAGATAGCATTTCTGACGAGATGGAATGCGCTAACTGAAGCGATCTTCAGTGAGAACCAGATCTTTCTTAGGATAAGGGGAGAAAGTTGGGCAAGTTGGTGATTCATAATGATTAAAAAGCGCGACAGGATAACGGACACAGAAGGAGACACAGACACAGCGCTACTTACAACTGAACTTTATTTCCGCTGCAGCTCGGTATATATTACCGGTAACAACACAAACAAGTTAGGAAGATATAAAATACACATCATAAAAGTCTTAAAAAACAACATAAAAAGGCTAAAATTCCTGCATCACTCATCGGCACCCACCCGAAACTAGTTATGTTTGGTCAAAAAACTGCAATTCTTTTTCGGATACCGATAAAGTGGGTGCAACAACACATTGCAGCCCTAATCTAGTTGTTGGATACGTTTTATTCATATTTAGAAGGGTTACGACGCGACCGGTTTTACATGCCTTGTCGTGAAGGGGAAGGGTATGAGGATGCAGAAATGGGAGAGGGGGTGCGAGGGAGGGAGGGGGAGTGGGCTTACACAGGCCGGCCAGACCGGCCGTCCTCACGTAAGCCAATAGTGAGTTGAAGACCCGCCTCTTGACAACTGTGGGGCCTGTCGGTGCCGTCCAGGCCTCGAACGTCATTTGTGGTGGTGGACCGAGCTGCGCGAGTGCTATGTCCCTCTCCTTTCGCCTTGCCGGGCACTCCCAGAGCAGGTGGGGCAGGGTGACGAGATGCGCTGAGGACTGGGTGTTAATGGAAGTATCGGGGATTAGCCCGGTGGTTTGATTGGCTCGAGGTGGTGATGTAGGGATCAAACTACACCTGTCGCATATGGCATGTTCTGGCAAATGTGGCTCGAAGCGGGCCAGGCGATATGGTGTCCATGCACAGCCGGTTGTGATTCGGCGTAGCCGGACCTCGGCCGCCCGCGGGTATCCCCTAGGGACGGAGGTCGGGCACTCAGTCAGCCGGGTGGACAGGTGCCGCTTGGTTTCGGTGTGCGGGTGCTGTGGTGGTGAAGGGCCAGTGCTAGAATCGGAGCCAGATGGTGCATCTAAGGGTCGCAGAAGCGGCTGACCGGTCGAGGGGAGAGACAAGAACGCCCTTGCCAGCCGGTGCACCGCTTCATTGCCCTCTATGCCCGCGTGGCCCGGATCCCAAACGAACCTGATGTGTGCGGCTGATCCCAGGACACACTCAAGTCCTGCTACCGCCGCCCGGATGGAGCAGACCGTTGGAGAGCGAGGGGGGGCTGAAGAAAGGCATGCCTTGACCGCTTCTGCAGAGTCTGTGTGCAGGAGGATCTCGGTGGGAGATAGCCCTCTAGTGGCGGTGTCGCGGAGCGCCAGTTCTGCTCCCAGCAGGATTGCCCGCAGCTGAGCCTCCAGCAAGTCAAGCCCCGGTGGAAGCCGGACACCAGAGGTCGATCCCAAGGACAGGCAACAGGCAGCTGCGGCTGTAGATCTGGATTCGGGATCCGCAGCCGCGTCAAAGTAGTATCTGCGTACTTCGGGGCCGTCGGCGTTGACGTCATGTTCGTGCGCTGCAGCTTGGGATCGTCGGCGGCCTGGATGGCCACCTCCAGCATGGGACGGCGTCGGCTTGCCGGAAGTCAGGCATGGCAGACTCCAAGGTGGAGGGGGTGTGGCTGGTGGTGGAACTCCCTCAACGGGTCGCAAGCCCAGCAACCCGAGAATGGATCGTCCTGGTCTGGACCGTGAAAGGCGGATGTGCTGCCCGAGGCGTGTCTCGTGTAACAGGTCTCCAATGGTGTTGAGTCCAGAATGGGCTTGCAGCGTGTCAACCGCCGTGAAGTTCGGCAGGCCCGTGACAATATGCATGGCACACCGATTAAGGACCTCTAGGGCCTCACGCTGTTTCCTGGTGATGCCTACGTGCTGTGCCCCGTAAAGCATCTTGGCTTGGATGAGGCTCCTGACAAGCATGCGTAATGTGTGGGTGTCGGCGCCCCAGTCCTTAGCTGTGGTGCGACGGATAAGGTGCAGCATATGTACTACGGAGGCTCTGGTTTTGCTCAGCCACGTCACAGGTGGGCCGTGCGCAGAAAAATCGACACCAAGAACATGCAGCACGTTTGTGGCGGTGATGACTGTGCACCCGAACTTGAGTTCGATGCACGGGGTCGCCTCTCGGCGTGCGTTGGTGTTTCCAAACACGGCGTACTGCGTCTTATCAGGTGACGGAGTTAGACCGCGTCCTATCAAAAATCCAGCGATGATGTCCAGTGCTTCTTGGGCGGAATCATTTTGAGGGCCAACTGGGCCACCCGTCGTCCAGATTGTGATGTCGTCTGCATAAATGGTGTGGCAAATGCCCTAATCTAACAATTTCTCGAGCCTAGAGTATTTCCCTTGTGGTTTTGTTTCTTCCCTATCGTTCCTTCGAAACGCGCTTTGTGGAAATATATTTAGTGGACAAATTTTCATGAACACACATTTCATGAACACTTGGTTCGTCGACGCTGTACGTTTTGTGAGCACATGCCCCTGTGACGGTTTGTTGACTACGCATTTCTTCACTAAGCTACTAAAAGCTAGCGCGCGATTCACTAAGGCGCGCTTAACCAAACCATGCCCCCCTCCCCCTGTAATCCAGGCGAGACGCAAATAGTTTGTTACGAAAATAGCAGGGTTGTGTGTGACTAAACGTCTCGGGTATTTTGATGAACTGCCCGGTGGCATTCAGTCGACAAACTGAATGCCACCAGACAAAAATTTAGATTGGGATCCGCGGATATACGCATCCGCAGCCCCTGACATTTGATCCGATCCGCAACCTGCCAAAATTTGCCTGATATTTATCCGCATCCGCCAGTTTACTGCGGATATCTGCGGATAATCCGCGGATATGCAGGGCTCTATACCACGCAACAGCACCTCTATCTCGCACCCAGAGGTCACTCTTTTGAGCAGCCTTACTCGGCCTCCGTTCACTCTAAACTGTAACTCCCTCGCTTTCCTGCTTGTCAAACACCAAGTTTGTTAGTAATTTCTGGATCTCGGTGCTCGCCGGGAAGTGCGAGGTTAAACGACATACATTCACCATTCTGTAACAAGGGAGGAGCACGCCAAAACAGAAGTCACCTAAACAAAAAAGAAAGAAGAAATACATGCCACCCAAAAGTGACACCGCAAGACATATATTGTTTTCATCGCTTGCTCACGCATGCTGCCACATGTAAAAAAGAGAATGATGTCCAAGTTGGGAGGGGCGAGGAGATGCCGAAACTAAAACCACATGGGAGCACGCCTGGGTATAGACGCTTTGCAGCAGCTGTGCATGGACGCCGCCATAACTGACCTTCAGTTTTTGCTTCCTCTTATTCCGTTTATTTCACTTCATCATTACCATAGCAGGCCAGTTACTGCCATATTAGATTCAACTGTGTCCTTTTCTAAAGCATCGGCCTTTGTAGAGGATCGTCAACTACCTTTTCAGTTGCTCGGCATGTCGGTAAGACAAGAGAAGGTCAGCAATGGCGGCTGTAATTTGGCGCGTGTGTAAAGCGTCTATACTCAAGCGTGCCACTCAAAGGGTCAATAGACGTTTAGGTGTTCGGCGGGGACGGCCTGGGTTCCGCGAGCAGCCTCACCTGAAGAGCCGCGACACCCAGAGGCCGGTGTCGGAGACCACCCTGGCGGTGAGCTTGCGCAGCGAGGACAGCTCGAGGGTGGACACATATGCCGCGAGGGCGTGCGAGGTCACCACGGCCTTTCCCGCCTCGTCCAGCCTCCTCGGCCCATCGCTGCACAAACGGGCACTCTCACTTTAGCAAACGCAAGGCGATATCTTGAAAATCAGAATGCATTAGTTCCTGGCGAATTCCTTAGTAAATCGAGTGTCCTAAATAAAGGCAAGAGTAATTTTTCTTGAAAGCGCTTTCAAAGACACTTAGGCATTGGGTAAACTACACAAAGAAGGCTAAAACTGCAGTTTGCTGCTGCTACTGATACTTTGGTTATCACTGCCTTTACCACACCAGTCTGTTTAGCTTTTATTTATTTGAAGGCTCCATCCTTATTACAGCCAGCAGATCATTAGCTCAAAAGTTATTTTTGTTCTGTAAGGCCGAGCACTGAAGCCATTATCATTGTTCCAAGGGTGTGATGGCAGCGCGCAATCGTGGGGCAAGGAAGAAGGTCATTCATCGAAATAGAATTAATGGCCCCACATCTCGACGGGGTTTGAATAAAATATGTACTTTAACGACCCAACAAGCGTCGTCGCACATGGCGCCAAGGTGGGGCCATTGGTTCTATTTCCATGCCCAATCTTTTTATACGAATCACGGATTATAGTAAGTTTTCGCACGGTCCCCGAAAGTCGTCCAGTCAAGGTTCCACTGTGTAAGCAACCATAGCCTCACCTGGAGAATGTTTTTCCAGGTGGCCCCTGGCCGTTGTTCTGCTGCTGCACGATGGTCTCGAGGCCCAGCCTGATGTCTTCCAGGGAAAGAGGACTGTCAGGAAAGAACCAACAAGGAAATCACTACGTCGACCAACAGTTGTGTATGTGGTGTGACAAGGTGTGAACATGACTTGCGCATTTTTGCTCGCACTGGCTAGTGATGAGTACAGTAGTTTACCACTTCGGTCGGCGCACCTTCTTCTTGGATAAATTATAGCTCTTACAGAGGTTGCCACTGTCTGTTGTCTGTGGTCGGTACTCCACATATTTATGTTCCGTCAGAGTGCCGATCAATCAGTTGGTTGCCTGTTAACCATTCTTCTCTGGGATAATGCTTTTAGAGATGACCCAGAGGCGGTTAGATGCCAGTAGGCTCTCACATTGTAAAGACAGCGTTGGCTTCTAAACCTTCTGTATCTTAATTAATTTGTCTTCTGGACTGTTAAGATAGCAAATAAAATATTTCCATGTGTTGGTGGCTCTTCAGAGGCTACCTTATTTTGCGATATTGACAGTGACAACAAGGACTGTTATTCTAGAGCAGTGCTTCAACGCGGTGCTTCGCACAGTCTTCTCATTTTCTATTTTGCAGCTTCTGACGCCCCGATAGAAGGCGCATCCTTTATTATTGTGCCCCTTTTGGAATACGTGTGTTCTGACCTGTATACTGCGGCTTCCAGGTTTTATTTGATTCTCCGTTCCTCGTGCCACTGGTTTCCTCCTCAATGAGGCCCATTTTCTGGCTCCAATTGAAGAATATCTGAAGAAGACCTCTCTTAAAGGGAAGCTAAAGAGGTTCTTGAAAAAAACCGAGTCAGGGGTGAATTCTAGAGTATACCTATTTTTATCCCGTGAATTTGAATATCACGTTTCTTTTCCCCCAAGATGTAACTAAAAGCGAGAGAACACAAAAAAAGAGGCCGCATCTCCACGTGGTGAATGATGTTGATTGGGGCGAAGCTCTGGTGGTGCTGATGATAGTACTGATTTTATTGTTCATAGGTAGTGCTGATGGTGCTGATTTTTTTTTTATTGCTCATAGCTGAGTTCCGGGTTACGTTTCGACTTCATTATTACTGCTTTAAGGTCGGTGAAATGCAGAGCCAGTGGTTCTTCTACGGATCAGCTTGGATCCGCAAGAAGCCGTGGGAACGCATCTCCACCGCTTAAGTCAACGGTCCATGTAAGAAAGAGAATGCGTGGTATGGATAGTGGTTATATACGCAGTTGAGCATTTGACCGCAGCACCCTCTCGTCTATAAACGTTGAGCCAATGCATGCAAAGTTTAAAGCGATTATATATGCATTTGACCGCAGCATCCTCGCCTGTATAGACGTTGAGCGGCTACATGCAACGCTGGTGTGTAGCGTAGTGGTTAAGACGTCTGCCTCGTAAGCAAGCGGTCCTGAGTTCGAACCCCCGTGCAGGCATACATTTTTTTTTTTAAAGTCGGCCGATCCCGAAGGCAGTGCAATCGATGTGAGCATGGACGCCGGACGGACAAGGCTAGACCCTAAGGAGCTTTGCCCCTGAAAACCTCCGACCAGTCGTCACGTCATACCCAGATCTTTCGACCGCAAAGTGCATGTCGCTCGTGTGGGCAGCGCGTGCAATTGCAAGCTTGCCAGGTATATTCCCATGCACTGACATCAGATGCAATATATTTTTCTGACCTTTCGGAGAATAGCAAGAATGCGCGTTCATAGCTTTGATAGGTGGTGAAGATGCGCAAGAGCAGAGATTCCGGAAACTCCTAATATGATGCCACGCTCAGAACAGGAGGGGCTTCAGCAGTACAATTAAAATGGTTTTCTGCAGCCTCCGTGCACCCAACTGAAAAATCATCTTGATATTCGTGATCCTAGAGGCTAAATGAAGATAACATAAGTGTTTTTCCTCAAATACAAAACCGCTTCAGCTTCCCTTTAAGCCTGGTTCAAACATGCAGCGCAACGCACAGATAGCGGAAAGTCAGTGCTACCTCAACGCTAGTGTCAGGACCGATTTCGAGTTGCACTGCTTACATCAACAGAAAGCGTTGCCCCTTTGCCACGCCAGCGTGGCAAAGGCAGCGGTAATGCAGAATGTGATGTGTTAGCCTGGAGAAATTGTTAAAACATGTGCAGACTGGATGGCGCAGAGCGGCCCTGTGTCGTGCAAAGTAAGCGCGCGAGTGCTCCGCGGATGTCTTACTTCTGGCTGCCGCCTTCTGCGGGTGCGATGTAAATGCATCTTAATTTTTAGAGCTCGTTGGAGTGTGAGACGCAGCAGACGGTACGTCCGGAAAAAAGAACAATCGCGACGCAGCAGTGTCAACCGGAGCCATGGTGCCAGCTCGCGGCAAAGGAGAACCAAACGCTAGGCCCCTAGCTCACCCCGTTGTGGCAAAGGAGTCCACTTTCTTTTCTCCCTCCTTATCTGCCACTCTCTCCTGCGCTCTTTCTCTGGGTACAGTTCACTGCACTCTGGAAATGCCTGGAGCGTGCTTGTTTCACGAAGCAGAGCGCCACTGTGTATCTGGAAATGCAATGTTTTTTCCCCGCCGGATATCTTTAGGTGCCAGCCATAGAACGCATTCTGTGTTATACGCCTACAGCACTAACTTGGTACTGCGGCGTACTATGAGTGAACAGGCTTTTACGCATGTTCTTTTGGATGAGAGATGCCTTGATATCCGGTGCCAAAGTTACGCCGAGCCGCAACGGCACTCCTGCACGAGAGTCGGAACTCACAGGGCTTGTAGAGGTCCAGGGACATGCTTCTGGACGTCCTTGCGAGATTCCACCTCGTCCCCTCCGCCCAGCCACTGTTTCCTGGAGAAGAGAGAGGGGGGCTCGACACAACGTCTCAAATGATTGTGTTGAGTGTGTCTTCAGACAGTGGGAAGTCAGCCAGCCCCAATGGACAACTGGTGACTTCGCTGCAGAACTTTGCATAATCACTGCGCAATAGAACACGCCCAAAGCTGTGTCTATATGCAGCGAAGGTGCTGGCACACTATTATGTTTCCATCTACTATCAGATTTTTCTTAAGAAATACCGTCAACTAGTAGCTGTGCACTTTAGAAGCAAGTGAAGCCCACACATTGCATTTCTCTTCCGGTTACTAGAAACACCTCGGTAAACCTACCGTAAATATAGCTCGTCTAGACAGACACGGTCTCTGTGACGGAAACAAGTGAGTCCCACTTCTGCAGCAAAAATGCGAAAGGAGAACAAAAATTTAGGGCATATTTACTTTGCCAGATCCATCTTGAATTAGAAATGATTTTAAAACGGGTTTCCATTTCGGCACGTCAACCCAGAGTGGAAGCCCAATATTCAAAATTAGTCTCGCAGCCTAAATGGCGCTGTAATAAAATATCCTTTTTTTTTTTGGGGGGGGGGGGGGGGGGGGGGGGTGCATTTTTTTTGTGACATACGCATTCTGCCCAGGAACTTTAAAAATACTTTTAGGGAGAGTTCAGTAGACTCCAAACCCGAGCCCGTGGAAGACAGTCCTTCCACTGCTATCAATGCCTAAAAAAATGGCACTGCGACACACTCTAAAATACCAAGAGACACCAGAAAGAACGAGCAAAACTGCATTTATAACGGGGTTCTCTCGCTATGCCTGAACACTATCATCACCAGTATCACCATTTTAGAGTGCACCTGTTAGGTGACCTTTCCCGTACAAAGCAGCAACGGCGTTGCCGTCGGCGTAACCACTATATGCAGGAACGGGCACCTGAAAGTCCCATAATGCAACACAGTGCACGTTGCATTATGGAACGTCACAGGCCACGGCTTCACGAAAGGCGGCTTCATGCCTCTGGCCGCTCGCAAAGAGGACCCCCACCGTACCCTCCTCCTCCTTTCTTGCATACCCTCTTGGTGTATTTAATCTCCAGCTTCGTGTTTATCTATGTTAAACTTCTTCTGCATTCTTATGTATGTATAAGCATTAGTTTTATCATTATCATTAGTCTTTTGCACTGAGCAAGTGTGTCACAGCTTTTAGGTGCTTTGATTTATGCTTGGTGAGTTTTCGTGGCCACAATTGTAGTATTAATGTCATAATTAACTAAAATTTAAATTAAAATATCTATTTATCCAACTTAGGTTTTTTTTTTTTTAATACTTACTCTAACATTTATTTTTGTGCTTAAATTCTTACTAAGGTTCATTCATTATTTCCTCATTTATAATTACTCGTTTTCTTTCCGGCCCTTGAGACTGCAACAGATGACTAATCCGACCTCTTAGCCAAAAAGTGCAAGGTACAGAGCATTGAGCGAAGTTGAGCAACTCACGTGCGTGTAGACTCCATGTGGTCTACAGAGTTGGACGCCAGATCGAGCAGTTCTTTGGCGGAGCCCTCAGCAGCTTCCACAGAGTCCTTGCTTTTTGGGTCAGACTGAAAAAGATGGTGCATGTGCGAGCTTGAAATTTAGAGTCCACCTATTGCAGTCCTGTACTCCCCAAAAAACTCTTTTTCACAAAGTGTGTTACATGGCTCGCACCTAACATTTGAGGTCCGCACACCTGAAATGGAAATCGAAACACCGACTGCCAGCCAAACACTGATGAAGCACTCGTCTCTTTGCCGATTTGATACGAGCGCCAGCTAAACGTTTTGCTCGAGTACATCCGAGTTATTTTCTCCTCACGGGTCGCATCCCGTGATCAAACACAGAGAGACATTTTAATCCTAGCAGAGGCTAAAAGGGCGAGCTCCAGGCTTCCCAGGAGAAAGAATGAAAAAGGGAGTGACAGCAAAGCAGAGAAAGGAAGTGGATGGTAGGTGGGCGTGTTTGCTTTGCTGCGACGAGTTGAAGTTGAATGTAGACCATAGAGTTATTATAATGTACGCTAGAGGTTCAAGTGGCGCTAGTGTGCTGACGCAAATTGAAGCAGACAGCAACCAGTCGAAAATTGACTTCCGGTAATGCATTTCTATGGAAAAAAGCGAGTGCATTTTCTCCCTGCGCTCGATCATAAGAGCAAATATTCCAAATAAGTCGTACGTACTAGGTAGCTTGGAACATTTCTCAGTCAGGCCGTCGAAAGAACTGGTCAGTTACGGCGTTTTTCTTTCGAATTCATCGCATTAAAAACGGTGCTAAAACGGCTACGTACGTGTATTTATGTGCACTGTCGGACACTGTTAGCGCGAACGCGACGTGGGCGATTTCCAGCATGGGGGATTTACATGCCAAACGAACGAAGGACATCTGGAAAATCAAGAGCGGCGGCAGGAACTACGCAATAACACTGGATCAGTAACTCGCAGTGCATGTACGATCAAAATAAATTGAAGGCCACGTAATCTATTCCGACTTTAAATAAGTGAGTACCACTTTATTCTTTCTGCTCTGAGCGAAGATGTTCGTTCTACGTTCAAAATATCACCCGCACCCTCGAAATCTTTGAGAACAAGTGCCCGATAAAAGCTGCCCGGCAGAGAAAACAATGCGAAGAGACACCTTTCATAACCTACGGACTTTATTCTCTACGGTTTGAATGTTTTTATCCGCTCATGCACGACGGGGTCATTTTCATATTGTGACAGGACTGTCATATTATCAATATATAAGCGTCACCGGAATGCTGGCGAGCCTTGAACACACACTATATTCGTTTCGATTGTAAATTTGCTTTGAATCGTCGCTTGCTTTTACACACCCGCTGTGGAACACACGTTTGGGACTGAAATGTAGCGAAGTTAAATATCGTTCACTGATGAAGAAAAATGCGCAAACTAAAGCAATTACACTTTTACAGTTTTAATCAAGGTACATACTATTCGGTACGACCCAAATAACCAAAATGTTCCGTGTTATTTTCCGGCGAAGAGACAAACTGCACGCGCATTTTCCCATAGGAATGCACGGGAGCACCACAAAAGGAGACTGGTTGCTGTCTGCTTCAATTTGCGTCACGGAAGTCGCGTAGACACTAGCGCCAGTTGAACCTCTAGCGTACATTATAATAACTCTATGATGTAGACAGTATACGTAGTCGACATAGACATACCGTAATATCCCGGGAGATGCCCCACCCCCGAAAGATAGCCCACTTCTATTTCTGGCCTGATTTGCCATAATTTCTTTAAGCATCGAAAATTCCTAGTAATTGTTTTGTCGGGATCAATGATGGCCTCGGCATAAATGCGGCTAGTTAGCTATGGAGGGATATAAGCGAACGTTGCTGACTGAAAAGGAGTCATCTTTGCTTCGTTGCCCCTCGCCACGATAACAAGCTTGAAAGAGACACGTGACCTAAAAATAACATTTTTTCAGCTTTTCTTGACTGCATACCGAAAGTTAGCCCACTAAGTGTTTTCACCCAGTCTCCTCTCGATTTTAGGTGGGCCATCTCGAGATATTACGGTAGACCATAGACATAGACGAGCTGAACATAGACATGTGTGTGTGTTGTCCATTTTATAGCCTTGGGTGTTAAAGAATCCAAACGTTCACCAGCTTGGTGACATGTTGCCTGTTACTTCTAGGTACAGACCTTGCAAGTGATGTCTTGCTGCTTCTTTGCACATATTAAAGCGTCTAAAAATGTGATGTAGCATCGAGCATTTAGCACAGTGCTGGGACAGATTTTACAAAACCAATGCCTTTGCCACAATAGTCAGGGAAGGGGGTGATTTTTACTTTTCTAGGCTAGGTGGCTGCAAGCTACTGCCCGTTATAAAGCGTAAAGCCATTAGCATCCATCCATCCACCCAGAGCCTGTATGTCACGAAAAAAGCTTTCTCCGGAAAAGATATTTCTTAGTGCAATATTTGCATCACAATTCCAAGACATGCTTCCGTTTTAAAGTGCAAACCAAGCAGAAAAAAATTATATATATTTTTTAGTTTAGTGTAGTTTGACTGTACTAAGGAGGAAGTTCGGCCAGACAACTATGAAGCAACGAACCCATTAAAGCGATCACACAATGCCTCCATGAAGCAGTATTCTCGAATGCCTCTTCCGCGCTGTGGTAACCACTTACTGCAACAAGGGCTTTAGCATTGCGAAAAATTCTCGAAACATCTTGAGGTAGCGGTAATTAATTTCTATAAACCCTTTGAATCGAGCACAACTGCATAAAGCTATGTTTCAATTTGTCATCCAAAACAAACGATTTGCCCTTTCTATCGTACGAGTTGAAAAGTGGTGGTGCATAGATTGAAGTATAAACTGAATACTCCCACTCCTGCTGTCTTTGCAGTGGCCGGAAGACAGAATTGGTAAACTTTCTTTCAGAAATGGTCGCATTTAACATTGTTGTAATCGTTTCGTTCCTACGCTAGTGGAAGGAAGCACAATTACACATTTTTCTTTGTCTCAATGTGCGCTTTTATGTATACATTATTTTCTAGGGTGCTTTTAGTTGTTTTTTTTTGTTAACCATCACTGTGAGCCATTGTTTCCACACTCCAGCGGTGACCTAATATAAGGTCGCAGTATGCACAAATAATAATGAATATTAGACAACACACACAGGCCTGAAGTGGATTTGGGAGAGCCAATAGACGGCTCTAGATAGTTTGTTCCCAAATAAAAAAAGGGCAATTACATGAAGCCTGTGAACCAGAAAAATATGAAAGCAAAATTTTACTTTAAAGACGTGTACTGTAGAAAGCAAACTTTCGAATACATCATTCTAACAATGAAGAAGGGCCTGACAGTAGTGGCAAATAACTTCAAAAGTTTAAAAGAAGTGTCTGAGAATGCTGCAAGTGCCATTTTTTCTATCTCCTATTATGCCCTGCATGAAGAACATCTGGCAACCCCAATGAAAATTTGAAGTCCCATTTATATCGCTTGGAGCAACAAATAACACGCTCACCAACCCGGGGATTCGTAGGCTAGCATGTCGCCTCAGAGTCCCCGCGGCAGCTAGCTTTCTTTGTGTTTGATCCTTTTGAAACACATTAAAGTGACAACTACATCTTTTTGCATCGCACATTAGACCACATAGACCCCGCTCCATTTCCAGCCTGTTTCACGCTAATTTTTTCGCATTTCTACACACCAAAATGTGCCGAAGACAGACCACCGTGGCAATCTCGACGATCAACTCGTATGCTTTGCATGACTGCCATGTTGTTCTAAGATTTAAAAAGTTGGCTGACAAACGTTCGCAAAGATAATCCGGTGCAGAAGTTCTTAGTAGAATTTTTAATACAGAGTGTGCTATATAGCTGACTCCCAGCAACTTCGTGTAACACACTTGTGTAACATAAGAGCAACACACAAGTGCTATGTCAGCAACTGATTGGAATTCGTGCCCTCGGCGACTGAATATGAATCCCAGACGAATTCTGACGCAGCACTCATGTCTCATCTGTACCTTAAGCTGGTCTCAGGTAGGTGAAATAGAAAATCCAGCACAGAGGCCATTTTATCTAGGAGCTGTCGAGCGAGCATGTTCGCACATGCGGTGGGAGTGTATACAGCAGGCGAGGAAGAAGAGGACACGGATGTGCTTTGGGGAAAACGGAGACACACGAAATGGCAGGGTCAAAGCTGGGGTGCGTGACCGCAAACGAGATGCAAACTTTGCGTTTCGCCGCCTTTGGAGCGCTATCTCTGGTGGGGCTTTCTTTTGGGAGATGCTATGCACAATGCCAGCGCCGTCAAAAGCCAAATTTGGTGTTTGCGTTTAGACGACGTAAGGCCGGTCTCTGCCTTTGTGGTACGGCAACACTGACTTATGCTGTGGAAGAGAGATTTAACCAGTGCAGCTAGCCTGTAGACTTTAGCATGCATCACGCAGTAGTGACATGCGACTGCTCGCCAGTGCAATGCTTGTTCAGATCGAAACAGACGGAGGCGGGGACTAGACCCGGGATCCCTGGATTTTCTGAGGCACGAGCTTTCGCTCTGTGCACTCCGAGCTGCACTGCGTTAACACATTTGACCACCGATCCCCCGCCTGTGCCATTAAAGCACAAAATGCATACCAGATTCCTTCGTGCAAGATCACCACGAAGCAACACACACCTAATTCTAGTATTAGCACTGCCTTCACCACGACAGTGCGGGAAAGATGAACATTTTTCAGCTATTTTTTTTTTTCTTCATTAACCTTGCAGTGGAAATTCATTACAATACAGTTCCAGCAAGTTAAAACAATTTTAATATTATCCTGTTAAACTTTTAAATCTGTGGCAGTATAACTACAATTGAGAGATTAAAATGGCTCAAAGGTTACGGAATTGCTGTTCAGTCGAGGCGTGCCAAAAGGGCATAAAAATCCGACTTTAGCAAAAAAAAAAGTAGTGAACAAAAAGATACAATATTTCGGTTTTACGTAGGTAACTTTTCTTTGAACTGTGATACAGATATAAAAATTGTAATGGAACACTACATTAACGCATTTATAGAGTAGAAACTGATGCTTACTTAAATATGAATCAATCAACTAGACGTCGAGCAATACTTCTGTAAAAGAAACGAAATATCATATCTTTTTGTTCACTACTGTATACGGCATATTTTAATTGGGTGTAGGCCAACTCATCGGCAGCTTATTCGTCAAATAGGCCCATTCGTCATAGGGCAACTCGTCGAAAGAAAACTCATCGAAGAAGCCAACTGGGCACCGCATTTTTAAAGCCAAATATATAATTTTTTCCTTAAATTTTAAAGCAAATACTGCCCTATATGTGTAAATACTGCCCTATATGTGTCTTTTATGTGTAACTCTTTCGTAAAAGATGTGTACAATAGGTGCTCTCCTTAAAAAGCTGACCTCCAAGTCTGCCCTTTCTTGTTGAAGCTAACTATTTGCTGCTTTTGCCACTTTCACGGTACAGTGGGGCAGGGTCACTACGTCGCTCGTGTATCACTGGGGGGCGTGTTAACTTACCCGACCCATCAGTTGACGCCACTCTGCGGCGACGGTCTGCGGCGGCTCATCACAAAATTGTCAACCCACCTGGCCCACCCGTTCATGCCATTGCGGTGGCTCATTACAAAATAAGTAATAAAGAAAGGTAACAAAGGAACGATCCTGAGATGACACTTTTTTCAACTTGTCTAAAGGTTCTTTCCTGTCGTTGCCCTCTTGTAATTTTTCGTTCCATCTTGTAACTTAACAAAGGCGCTGTCCCTAGTCTAAACACAAATAAAATTTAGGTCAAAAGATAAAAAGGAACCACGAACTCTTACCTCGGACCGTCATTCAACCCGCCCTTCGACAAATCGCCGTATTCGACGAGTTGGCTGGATTCCATTTTAATTAGGCCACAAAGAATGTCCCAAGCACGCCAGAATGCCATGACAACAAAATATGGTGGATGTCATCACATACATCTGTTTCATAGATCAAAAAACAAAGCCCGCAACTTCCGAAGGGGGAAAAGAACACGAAAGAAAAAAAAGGTGTGTAAACAAAACAAAAATTGGCACATTGCATGGTGTGTGTGTGAGATGGGGAAAAAAGAAAAGGAAACGAAAACAAAAATGTCGAGCCATACTTTGGATAATGCAACAAGGGTGATGAATAATAAATAGACCTCCGCTTGTTTATTGTGCCACGGCCGTCGAAACAGCATCGCGCAAGAACTAGTACACACCTTTCAGCGAAACTCGTTTCTGCTCGTTTGACCGAAAAAAAAGAAGATAGAGGTAAGAAAAAGAAAACCTCGCTCCGCGCCAATTAAGTTTCAGTCACCGGTCAAGAGGATGTGAAATCACAAGTAGTGGCAACACAATGGGAAAAGACTAGCTGGAAAAGAATAATTACAGCAGATCTAATAATGCTTACGTTTCTATGCAAACACCCACACAGACCCTACGTTCGCCCAGCGCCGGAAGCTATTTCGGTCATCTAAACTAAGCTTAGCGTCAGCAAAAGAGATCAGGGTGTACGAAGCTTACACGAAAAACAGATCGTTTTAAATCAAATTCAGGCAAATTATGCAATGCAGCAAGTGGTAGATTCGCCATTTGAACCACGAAAAAAAAAAAAGAATAAACATATATATTTAAATATCTCGCCAGTGAAATGACTCACGAATGTCCTAACCCACAAGCAGGTAGACGTATCAGAACTTCTACATTCAGCCGACGGTGTTCCTTTTCGTGCCGCTTTCGAAATGGAACGTCAGCAGTGTTCCGTGCGATCAAAAGGCAGGGGGTGGGCTAGCTACTAAAACGTCATCAGTCGTTCGACGGGTCTCGTCGCGTACCGCTCGCGCATCGCCATGGCGTCGCTGCTTAAAGGTTCGGAATGTTCGAAAGGCACTCACGGCTCCCATCTCCATCTCACGGGCTTGTGAGTGGTCGGGGGTGTCGCCCGAGACCGCCGTCGGGCCGGTGGGACGATCACCGGTGCCTTCGGCAACACCACGATCACCGCCGCTGTCCGCCATTGCTAATCAAGACACGCTGGCATCACCGACGTCACTTCCGATGTCAACTTCCGCCCGCGACACGAACTACGTCGTTGCCATGCCATTCCGGCCAATCCACGCGAAAAGCAACCGGCTTCTGACGGCTACGGCTAATTGTATGATCCCCCGCGTCCGCCGCCATCTTCCACGTTTTGGCTGCGGCTCTGCGCGCAGTGGGACGACTTGAACAAATTTGTCTTGTTCCTCGTGTTCTTCCGAACTAAGTAGACAGCTATTTTGCTGGCTCGAAAAGATGCCGCGGACTAGTTTGCTGTCTACTTGGCTGCCTTTTACCTTCTCAGATATTGACATTTTTTGTTTATCTTTTTTTCGCTTGGTTTGTATGCGTGGTGCTTTGCCTAGAAGTGGTGTCAGCGGTGTCAGGTTTACAAACAGACGTGCGACAGCCTGACACGCGAAGCGGGCTGAGCGTGTACCGTGTAGCACTGGATTTTCTTTCGTTTTTGGACGTTACGACGAGTCTCCAAGGTATGCTAGGGGTGCGACTGAGCGGACTGTGCCCCTTCGACGCCACTGGCGGGTTCGGAACTGCTGATACGCCTACCCCGCGAACTTGCCAAGGAGCTACGGCAGCGGGTAAAGTACTATTTCTGCACCGAATTTTGATCTCTTACGAAGAATTATTTCTGTAAACGCGTGCACGGATTACACGCGTTGAAAGATTACACGCGTGAACATATCAAATATTTATCTTCGTTTTGTTTTTTCTTGTCGGAAACTAAGGTTTCGCTCTGAAGAACGGCATGAAGCGATGCGATAAAACGTGTAAAAGCAGTAGCGTGTCGAACCACGGTCTGTGTGAACGATATAGTGGGTGTTCGCAAACAAGCGTCTCAATTTGGCTCTAAAAAACAAACAAACAAAAAGAACGAGCAAGTAACGCGTAGTTTGTACATTTCTGTGGCGACGTTTTAAAGACCGCTCGTGTCTGGTCGACGTGTTATGACGACTCAAAAGACCCGTGGGCGCTGTTAGGAGCTGCGAGTTTTTGCGGTTGTTTGTGAACTGCTGTGAATAGGCTAAAAACGTGACACGGGAGGCAGATGTTTTTCTAAGAGTGGCACTCTCTTAATTCGTGCCAGTCGCGTTCTTTTATGCATTTGATTGTTCCTCGGTCGCCTGACGTGTCTAAATATAGCTCAACTTACCCCTTTTTATGATTACCTTTTCATAATTTTCGTTTTGCTTGCAGAGGAGGGGCTGACAGTGAAGAAGTGACACGAGCGAGTCTGCTGTGCACAAGGCCGTTGCCATGAGCCAGTACAACGTGAGATCTTCGCAGACGGTAGCAGCAGCGTTCTTCTGCCTCGATGCCGCGGCTAGAGCGTGCCTCGACCCGTTCGTACCCATCTACCTCCGTCACCATTCCCTGAATGCGTTTCATGCAGGCGCCGTGATAGGCATTGCTGCGTTCCTTGCTGCTGCTTTCGTGCCGTCGGTTGTATGGTTACCAAGATGGCGACGACAGGGCTGGAGGAGCATTCTCCTCGCCTCCAGCGCCCTTGCTGCCATCTGCTACATCGCCCTGCTCATGGTACCGCCAATGTCCAGTCAGTACCAGTTGACATCGCCATGCTCTCAGGCTCACCTCAAAGTACCGACGGCAGCAATGACTAGTGCGAGCCTGTCACCGAGTTCGTGGGAAGCTCACCCTACCAGTCATCGAGGCACGTCTGCCAAGCCAGTGTCTACTGTTGGGACGTCGGCCAAGCCGTCTTCTCTGCGAGTGGCTTCGTTCGGAACCTACGAGCCAATGCCAACGGCGCTGCCAGTTAGCGCAACTACCGCTGCCACCGTGATAGTTCCCTCAGCAGTGCAGCAGAATAGTAGTAACGAGCATCATGCGGATCGTCACACAGATAATCGTAACAGGCCTCATAGGGAAGCAGACGGAGGATTGGAAATAACCCTAATGACTGCAAGGCCAACTACAAAGCCCACCAGACCAGATGCACTGCTTGAGAAAAGTGCAATGATTGCACCGGAATCAAATGGCACTGGCAGACAAGCTGGAGTTCCAGGACAGCGCAGAAAGAAGGTCCTTCCTCCAGAACATATTCCGCATACCACGACGGCGGTGCGTCAGAATGCCTCATCTGGACTTGGAGTGGGAGACGGTCGGACGCAGGGTCCAAGCTGCGACGGATCGTCGCCGGATCCAGACTGCCTTATTCCTCCGAAAGCCAAGTTGGAAGAACAGTTCGACCACTCCATACTGCTCCTGGTCACCCTTATCGTGGTCTTCGGCGAGTCAATGCTTTCGCTGGCAGGACTAGCGGCCAACGAGTCCTTCTTCCGCTTCCTGGATGAGATTGACACCACCGAAAAAGCAAATGCGCACCGCACGCACGCCGCCGTCGTGTCTGCTGTGGTCGTGGGCATCTCTGCTGTTGTGGCGACGCAGGTCCCCTGCGTGCCGCTGTCGACGTGGGGCAGCTCGACCGAGGTGTACCTCCTGGTCTTCGGCGCGCTGGTCTCAATGTCCCTCCCGCTGGCCGCCTTTTTTCCAGAGCCCCAGCAGGCGGTCAGGAGGAGGACGTCGGCTGGGACATGTCGGGGAGTGGTGGATGCTCTGAAGGGCGGTGAGGGTGCCCTGATGGCGACCACCCTGGTACTCTTGGGTGCACTCGCCGGTGTAGAAGGAACCTTCTTCCTCTGGCATCTCGAAGAAGGTGGCCACAGCAACGCGCTCGGCGCAGTAATCATGGCACGCGCTGTGGCCCGCGTTGCGGCACTGCTTCTGGTCAGGGCTGGCGGGCTTCCGGGGCGGCTGCACGGCTGGCTCGTCTTCGCGGTCATCTGCACGTCTGCTCGCTGCGCCTGCTACGTCCAGTCCGGTTGGCAGCTCGCAGCGATGGCGCAGCTGTTGTCGCCGCCATCGACTGTGCTACTGTGGTTTGCGTGCGAGCGGTGGGCACGGAGAACGTCCACGGGTATCGACGCCGAGCGATGCGTGCTTGCGGCACTTGCCGTCTGCCACCGCGGGATCGGCACTGGCGTCGGAGCAATCCTGGGCGGAGCTGCGGCGGCGTGGATGGGAACACGGTCTGCCCTCGGACTCTGCGCTGTCGTCGGGATGATTGGAGGCGCAGTTGTCTTTACGGTGACGCACTTCGTGGCACCTAGGCCGCCGAGTTATGACCGGCTGCTTTGGGACCCGACAAGTCCAAACTCCGAGAGCGAGTCGGAAGAAGAGATGCAGCCCCTGGAACGACAGGCGGCCGCAGTCGGTGACACATCGTCCTGATTTCCTCAGACGAACAGAAACGGCGGACTGAACGGTCCACTGGAATCGTCTCGACACCGACAACGTCCCTGCAACGTTTCGGAGACGCTTCCTCTTTGCCGTGCATCGTGTGCATTTCAGAGTGGCGTCAAGATACTATTCGGACATTCTGCGCGCTTTTTGGGGTGTGCTTAGGGCATCGTATATCACGAGGCATTTTGGGAACATTGCATCCAGTCATTGCAAGGGTCGGCGACCTTTCACAAGCTCTCCACGAGTGGGCAGTGCTAACGTGGCCACTGAACCACGTCGCAAGCCAAAGATGGTCCACTTCCATACTAGTCGGTGTTTATAGTTATTTTCCAGGGAGCATAGCTTTTGTATTATATAGTGAGGACACTTTTGGGAGAAAACAATAACATGTCCTTTATTTCTGTTAACTGTTGGGGGTATGGGAGGGGAAAAGAGTAAACATTTGTTTTCATTGGATGAGATTCGTTGTCATCTGTCCCTTAGACGGGGACACAGGCACTTTCAATAAGTTGCAGACAGGTGCTCGGAGGATTCAGACGGTTTCATTGACTAACATGAATTTACATTCTCTTTTTAATACCGTCGCATAAAAGTTGCATGTGGTGTAAAAAAATGATTGCTTTTCGGTCTTATTTTTTTTGTCTATATTAAGAACCAAAATTCTGCCAGTAGGCCTTTCTTTTTGCATGCTGCAGCCATTTACATGTTGCGGATGGTTCCTTTACTGGACTAGCTCTAAGATGAGAAAAAGTTGTCTAGCAGAAATTCCCAGACCTAGTATTAAGGTCCATGCGTTTTGAAGGTTAACTCATTAGCATACTCGTTTTTTTATGAAATGTACAACAAAATTTAATTTAGATTGTGCAGTTCGCACGAAAATTGAGGGAAACGTTTACTTGGCCTTCAGATGCTCTTTGCTGTTTTTGTTACCAGTTCCTGGCCATGCGATGTGTCCATTCAAACAACAGGACAACAAATGAATGTTGCCTTCAATTTTCATACGGATTGCCAATTTTAAATGAAGTTTTTGAGACATTGGAGAGGTGGCACAACTCGTCACTGAGGATGGTACAGTCTGATCCACTTAATGCTGTACAGTCGAATATCGTTAATCGGGGGGGGGGGGGGGGGGGGGGAATTTGTTTGAATCAAGCAAAGTTTGAATTATCATAAGTTTTCTCCCATAGAGACGCGTAAGATGGGACCTGCATGTTAGTTTAAATTATCCGCAAGTTTGAATTAATAAGTCGACTGTACAGCTTATAACAAGCAGTTTCTAGTCCAGATACAATGATAATCGGTTATAACAATTGAATTTTCAGGTTTTCTCAATATCGTTCTTAGTGGATTGCACTGTAGAACACTCGCCACTCTCAAGTAAAAAGTATCCACCAATCTCATTGGACTAGAGCAGACACCTGCACGAGGCCTTGTTGTCCATCCTTGCACTTAAAAATCTCAAAATGTATATATATATATATATATTTTTTATGGGAAATGGAGTTTAGTGGTGAAAATTTGTAACAAATGACAAAGTAACCTGAAGGTGTGGGAGCAATAGTGGTATGCTTCCTTCTCTTGTGGAGTCTACAAAACGGCTTTCGAAACGGAAAAACTAGGCACTCTTCGGGCTTGCTAGTTCATAGTGGACAGCGTGAGTGACGCTCGTGATTGGCAGTCAAGTGGTTAACTTCAACACACAAACAAACTGCAGCCTAGAGACTTGTTTACACACTTGCGTTTGACTACGGCCAACCGGTTTTTAAGCCGAGCTGGTTGTAAATAGTCTTGAGTGGCTTGAGAATCGGTTGCAGTGCAGTAGGCTGTCGGCAAACGCAAGAGTGGACCAGTCCTCATACTATTGAACGAGCAGACTTGCGAGCAAGCTTCCCGTTCTGTCGCTTTGCTCGGGTGGTTAGGGGCGCCATGAAATTCTGTAATGAGCTTTGTTGCATGTTGCCGTACTTGTCGCTTAGAACCGCCAGGGAAATGTATGATAAACATTGTTCGCAAATACGCCAAATTACACACTGTGGGCAACGATTACACGTGAACAACGCTGACCGGCGACATGTACTCTCAAACGGGCAATGCTTGCCCAAAGGTGGCTTTTCTTACGTTGGCAAGCGGCACTGGCCGCTTGTTCGCTCGGCGAAACTACACCCCATTGCATGATCACAAAACTGAACTACTTTTTAGCAGCACACCTAGTTCTGTGATGTCGTTAGGATGTCCCTAGAATGTCCTGTGGATGTTTATAGGACATCCTAGAACATTAGGACACCCTAAGGACATCCTAAGGTTATTCACAGAACTAAGTGTGCTTCCAGAGTATGGATTTCCAAAAAGGCCGCCGCAGACATCAAAGTGACACGGGTTCTGAAGATACTTCGAAAGTTGTTTGTCACTTTGCCACAGTTCGTAAAGCACTTGGGAGAAACGGAAGCATAAAAATATTCTCTATCATAAAAAGAGTCTTTAAAGGCATGATGGTGCTTACAGACACCTGCGAGGGCCACCATGTTTTAAAAGATTCTGCACCAACTCGCCGAACAGAAGGCACTGAGCTATAAGAGGGTCGTCAAAAAAGACCTTGCCTCTTTCGAAAGGCATGTCGTGGTGCGTTCACGCACGAGCAGTCTCTCCTGTCGACTTGGAAACGCGACGCCAAACTTTCGTCGGGCTACGGCTACGCAGCACGGTCCTGCGAGATGGGCGTGCCCTTATCGAGTTTACGTAAAAAAAGGTTACAAAAACACATAAATTATTCTTTGATTCTACAACGGTATCCGTTGTGAGAACGACGACACAAAAAGGATCCATCTGAACGAGCGGTGCATAGTTTGATCCCCGGTGGAGGCGTCCGATTCCCGCCGCCATTAACGAAGATTCAGCAGCACTGCATTTTCGAACTTGGACAAAAAAATTAATTCGGCATATCAAACGCAGCATTCACCAACGGGGCGGGAACGGCAGGGAGCTCCCTTCCTTCGATAACGCTTCGGTGCCTCGTTGGCTTCGAGCGTGCGTGCACGGCCGAAGCACTGGGGAAGGCAACGAGTGCATACTCGAGGCCGGGCATTCAAGAAAGATGCCCCGTCGTTGTTATCCCGTCTGTGACTGCGGATGGCAAGTTCGTCTGCACCTTTTGCAGGGCTTGGAGTGATGTCAGAATGCTGAGCTCTGATTGGTTCTGCTTGAAGGATAATGGGTAGACCTCAAGGCAGAGTTGCTTTGAGGCCTACCCACTACCCTTCAATCGAAGCTCGGCATTCTGATGTCACCATAACCCCTGCAAAAGAAGCAGACAAACTTGCACTCCGCATAGCCAAAAACATATAGACGGACTGATGCGTTGGAATGCTGCGTGGCCGATTCTCGCTTCGGAGGGCGGAAATCTGCAGCAAGCGAGGCCCGAAAGCTGGCTCTATGCCACGCTTGAGGCCAGTCTTCCTGGAGGAACGTTGGAGCACGGCCGTCGGCCCGAGAACACGACAGGTCTTGGTCGGCGGCTGGGGCCGTTTCGGCGACATCTCGCGGGGTTGTCGGCGTGGACGTCGGTTCCTCGGGGGTTTGGCACTGACCTTCAGGGGTCTTGTTTTTGGGGCGCGATGTGCTGCAAGGGAAGTTTTGCAAACGATTTTGAGCCGGTTCGTCCCGGCACACATACGTATGCAGAACCAGGATTTTTCCGTGGGGCCGAAGACCCCTTTCCCAAAATGCACGGTTACTAAAGTGGGCGAAAAGACAACAGGAGGAGAAGGCGGAAACGACCAAAGAGGAAAGTAGAAAGTTGACGGCAGGCTTGTGTTTCATGGTTTTGAGGCCTGCATTTATGCAGAAATGAGCAAAGGACGAATGTTTCTTCAGCAGGTGTACTGGCTTTGTTAAGGATTTAAGACTTTGGAACTGTCTTACGGCATGAGCAATTGGGTCGAAAGGAGAGGTATTTTGCATGCACATGCTTGCAAAAAGTTTTCAGTTCTGTGTTGCATACAGCTCCTAAACAAATCAAAAGCTCCCTTTAAAGATCGATCTTGCTTCGTACCAATTGTAAAATATTTTTTTTTCTCATAAAGAGCTCCACATTATTCTGTTCTTGCGTTTCAGCAAATGTCTGACGTCCGCTCAAACGTACAATTAAGAAAATTTGAGTGACATACACCAAACAAAAAAGTCTATAAACCTCCCTCTCTAACAGAAAAAAAAAAAAATTGGCTTGCATTTAGAAGTTGCACAAGTTTCCTGCGGCGACTATACACCTCCATAAGACGCAATGAGGCAGCAATAATACCACGTGGGAAATAAGCGGATTCACCCTAGCATCCATGAGTGGACGCAGACGTCTACTCACCATGCGCTTCATGATGCACAGGATGTTGACCCAGGCAAAGGAGCAGATGCCGACGGTGACCACTCGGAGATGCGGTGGCACCAGGAAGAAGTTGACGCATTGGGCCGGGATCCAGAAGCAACAGCTGAGCTGCAGATGGAACGCAATGCTGGTGGTTTGCCAGGTTTGACCTCTAAATGGCTACATTTCTTTCACGATATATAGGGTGTTATGGATTGAGGAGCTGGCATTAAAATTGGCCAGAAATATTGGCGTCCGCCCGTTGCCAGCTCGAACTTGCACCAGAGATGTACTTATAGGTGCATTTTGCCTTGCGATGTTTCAAGGCATAGCTCCCTTCCTGCGAAAAAATTAGTCCAACACTCTTGACAGCAGTAACGGCAGACAGTGGTGCAGAGGATCGAGTTAACCAAGGAAGGTGGTCCCATTTCCGAACAGGTGAAGCAAACGCACAGTGGCACTAGGTCGAAAGCAGACGATGCCATTTTGTGCTCGCTGCCTCAATCAGAAGACGCCACAAGCAGCTAGGTTAGCTAGGTCATCAGCATCTTCAACTCAAAATGCCAAGACAGTTCTTCTAACGTTTTGCAGGATGCCGTAAAATTTCACGAGATAAAACTACCACTAAAATGCGCCATTACTAAAAGTTTAAGCTTGTATACACGCAGGCATCCATTTTTCTGGCTGAATTCAGAGTGAACCTTTCAGTTCACAACACCCTATAGGGGACATTCACTTGATGCCATAACAGAGTGCGCCGTTTAGTGTGCATGTTTAGAACAAGCTCGCACCTACAGGCTGCCAAGACTGGCAAGCTCGATGGTGTGGAATGCACATTGCAAAATCACTCTGGAAGCTCGCCATCAGCGCACGCTCACCAGGAATGGACTCTGCTATGCCCGCCTGGGAATACTGCCTATACATGTTGTGACGTGCACATTAAATTTTTTCACTCATGAACATCAAACAGAAGTCTGCAAAGATATTGTCTTCAAAATAAAGAAACATAAGCGGGGTATTTTTCGCAGACTTGCAATTGTCTCAGAGGCTCGACTAGCTTTCCTTTTTCGCTTCACGCATTCTCTGACCAGCCCAAATACTCGGGATGAGTTGGCGACAAAGCATGTAAAGTGGTTTAGCATAAAAATACACATAGAGAAGGGGTTGCAATCGTTAACAACAATCAAAGCAAAGCCTGTTAAGCTCGTCTGCTAGCTTTTCCAGTTAGGTGGGTCATGTGCATAAGATGGTAGATCACGGTAGAGACATAAACAAACTAAAGTTTCTCCTTGAAATAGGTGTGGCCACTACATTTTCCTGCGAACCTGAGAAAGCGTCGTTTTGGTACGTTCAAGGATAATGTTGCTGCTTTGTACACTGCCAATGTACTAACATATAAATTTATTTCGCAGTATAATTTATGTCGACGTAACATTGCAGATGCGAGGTTTAACTCCTTTTGGGCTGTATCACTGATCCCTGTGGGACTCTTGATTTTTACATTAACAGTCAATGATTTTTTTTATTCTTTTCGCCAGTTTATTGCATAGGGGGCAGAGATCAAGGCATAGTGCCTGACAGTCTCTGCCCCCTAAAGTTCAGCAGCTCAAGATAGTTACATAATAGCAACAATTCTACAAAACATTACACAATTAAAAAGTCACGTTAAAGCAACAAGGGAAAGTAAACAACAATAGGTTCATTCGGTAATAAATTCCACTCCAAATAAACGTCAATAAAGGTTAGTCGTGTTAAAACTAAAACCAAAACAAGCAACCAAAAATCCAGAATACAATCACATATGTATATCTTCGGCATGTCAGCAACAACAAATTCAGATATGATTACAACGAAAACACATATCTTTGAGATTGGCCATATATAGCAACTCTGTTCTTGGTATACTCAAATTTATTGTATTGAGAGATTTAGTTGTTTAAAAAGTTGACGTTTGTCGGCCATAGTTGGTGCTTCTGGCCAGCATCCTTTGCTTTGGGTTTCTAATCGGGTATGCACTCAGGCTGTCTGTTGGTGCGGTATAGTCTACTTTTATGTATCCATTGTAAAAGTTTGAAATTTGTGTTTAGCAAGAACAATGCAGTCCTCTTCAGTATTACCTAGGAAGACCACACGTCAAATATTGCAACCTAGTTCTGTTTAAATGTTCCTTAAATGGTCCGGCAAACTTTGCAACGTGCCAAATTGCCGAAATCAGCTGACGCTAGCAGGCGAATTGAAGCGCAACCAACAGCGCAGTCAAGGTTACGGCGTCGGCGTAGCCAACATTGAGCCAAACATCATCACCCCTTTTTGTTTGTTTTTACTTCTCCGGGCAAGCGTAACAGTGACGGCAACATTCCCTCTCGGCGCTCAGCGGTGTACATGTGATTGGCATAACGCACCTGTGCAGCGCACTTCTGGGGGTTACCGATGTCTCCCGCATCACAATTGCCATCGTCATCTCACCGTTTGTGATTATTGTCTCTCGGAGTTTCGTTCACACTACATGCGCAGACTGATGCTGCAATTGTGCAGACGTTGTTGAATGTCGTAGACACCAATACATGGTGAAGAGTGCGGTGCAGACGATATTTTGTGCTGGCACACGCCCGCCCCAATCCTGCCCGTCGTTGCGTAGCGGTTCACATGCCTCTCTCATGCCACATGATAGCCACGCTTTTGGCGGCCCGAGGCCAATGTTGCCAGACGGAGCCGAAGTTTTGGTTTCTCATTCTGCTCTTGTTTAAAGTAAGAATTAGCAATGTACAACCGATTTTTCATGAAGCAAATGACGTAATGGCTTTTATTAGTGCTTTTTAATGTAAAATCATTCAATATCCCGAAATTGAGCGGAATTTCCCTTTAAGCATATTATATTCGATGAAGAGTGACCATATCCTTAAATTTCTGGTATCCCCTTTATAGTTTTCACACGTCCATAAGATTTTCTTCTGTTTGCAACTGTCACCATTCTCCAGACCAAAATTACGTAACTAATTTTGGAGTATAATAAGGAATAATATAATGTGTTGTTTTAAACACGGGTAAGCATCAATTTTTATATCCTACAAATTCTTTTGCCTCATTTGTTGTGACACACTGTTCACAGACACTCAAATATCACTATAAATTAATTTTCTATCTGCCCAAAATAAATTTAAAAAAATGTGATAACGAATTGAAGAAATTTCACTGCGGACACTCCGTTTCCACTGTCCACAGATTGGTAGGTCACGGGAAAATTCAGTTCTGCAAGACCTAATCCCACTCAACAGTTTTGCCAGCAACAACTAAACAAAATTAAAAGGCACACAGCTGGAACCGTAGGCTGCCACAGGAAATGCAGTCAATCATGTCAAGAAAACAGTGTCATACGGACACCGACCTGTAGTTTTCAACATTGCTCTCGGCGCCGGATCTATTTACATATTGTCTACTCAGTTCCTCAATCACCGTAACGAAACACCAATGGACCAGGTACAATTTTCCCATTGAGCATAAGTTCCAGTTATCAGAAGGAAGACCACTTTTTTTTTAGGACGTGGAGAATAAAACACTTGTTTCGCCAAGTTTCACCAATCATGCGCCAGCTAAAGAGGTCCTACCGAAATATTAGAAACTTAATGTCTGTTCGTTATCACGAAGAATATCGGTCTGACATGTTACGATTTTTTTTTTCTGCTGCGGGTGTTTGCACAGGACAAAAATCTTTTGTTTTCCCAGTCCCGGCAATGGTAGCACCCCCTATTTAAGAAAATATGTGCAGACCTGGCCAAATCAAAATAGATATATTGAATTTGCAATCCGACTAATGCCCCATGCATGCAACCATGTGCAGTGTGTGTAATTGTAGCTCTGACAGGCTTGTAAATGTGCATCCTTACCCACACGAGCAGAGACATTGTAAGGCGATCGAAAAGTGCCTTACCACGTCCTCCGTACACGTGGTGACAAAGTTACCGAACCCCGTGTTCCTAGAAAGCCACCAACAACTGCCTAAGTACTCACGAATGTGCAAGGCCTCACCTTGTAAGTCGGCCAGAACTTTTGCTTGAGCTCTGCAAAGAGGTCCTCCTTTCCCTCCATGGCACTCATGGCTAGAAGGAGAAATGAGAAATTGGATAATGTTGGCTATGTTAATCAATCAATTTTTTTTTTTTTTCCTTCGTCAAGCTGGCAGCAGGGGCAAAAAGCTGTAGCAAGCACAGCTTGACGAGGCCTTATCTTTAAAATGGGCACCATGGCGTGAGAATGCTCTTGAAAGTGGGGCTCCTCAAGCATTTTTATTTTCAGGAGACCCCCAGAAACTTTGAAAAACAACCACAAGTCTCTATTTCTCCAGGTAGTATTATATACTGAAACAATCCCCGAATTTACTATTAAGTACTTTACGGGGCTCACAGGGACACAGACCTCCATCAACAAACTACACCAGTGGGATGGTTCATCTGCTACATATACTAGTACTCCTTTGGTGACGCCTAAGCTGAGTGAAGCTACGCTCTCGCCGGACCCATAAACCGCCTCCCTTTCATCACAGCCCCGCTATCTGCGTGATGGTATGGGCTGGAGTATGATCATGTGGCAGACACCAAATGTGTGACTGGACAAACAAGCATGTAGCTTTCATCACCCTGTCAGCTTAGGGGTGAATGCGTATGCGGAGAGCAAGTCGTCTGCTTCTTGCGCAGGAGTTGCGGTGACGTCAGAATGACTCCGAGCTCTGACTCGCTTTGGCTGAAAGGATTTTGGGTAGACCTCAACGCTAGATGCCTTGAGGTCTACCCACCAGGGTGCCTAGCGAATTATTGTTTTGTAATTCCCTGACTTTTCTAGGTTTTAACTGGCAATTTCAGGTGAAATTCCCTGACCACTGTAGAGGCGGCTAAATATATAAGACCATTCCAACAAAAGGCATTGAGCACTGTGAGGACCATTTTGCACGAGCTTAATCCAACTTGCATATTCCGAAATATTCGGGTTCGTCCCGTCTGGATTAAACGTGCACTTTCTTTGCATCGACATCGTCAGTGAAGTGGCCACTTCCGGAAACGCAATAAAAACATGACGCTCAACCACACACGTCCTTAAAGGGGCCCTGCAATCATATTTAAGCGTCTACCTTTTTTGCAGTTCCCACGTCTCTTGGTGTTTGGGCAAGCCAGCAGGCACGGAGGTAGTAACTAAATATCATATTTTAACCGAACAACACGGAAACCTCCTCCACCGACAAGGGCGACCCGCGGTACCGAAAGCGCGCTAAATGTGGTGTATTTGGTCCTGGGCTTACTACTGGTCAAAGCCGCTAAAAGCTTCTTTTTGGTCGAAATACAAAATATAAGTGGCGCGAACCATTTCAATTATTTATAAAAGTAGTTTTTGTTCAGTATCTTAGATCAGAAAAGAAACGAATGCAGTTCATAAAGTACGGAAACAAGAAATGACCCTTCGACATACCCGCCACCAAGCGGTAGAAAAGGCAGCGCATACTGGAAAGGAGTAGTGGGATCAGGCGCCGACACGCGCAGGTCTCGGATGTACGTGGCGGCGCTGCGGTCGTATGGACCGGAGGATCCAACAGGCTTGGAGCGTTCCGAAGGCCTTCGGCGAGAAGCTTTGTCTTGCGGTTTGGCTATTTTGCGGTATGGCAGCACAAAGTGGCTCCCATTCTGAACTGATCTTTACCCTGTGTTTGCTGTCGTTTGTGGCCAATGAAGTGTCATGCCGAATTAGTGTTTAATCGCGCAGCAAATGCAATGAAAGCCGCTCTGGCTGCCCGCTGCATACAGCCTATCCAGAACATGCTTCAGTGGCGCCCTCTCGTACCGTCAACACGGAGTGCGGCAGTCGTGAGCGCTCGTTGAGCTCACCACCCCTCCTCTAGTTCACGGCCACTCAAGCAAGCAAGGACGTCATGAGGGAGGTTATTTTTTGCTTGTTTTTGTAATTCTAATTTGCCTATAACTTTTCAAATCAAGTGAATTTTGAGAAAAGAAAAGTTTCACTAAGTTACTATGTTCAGTGTGCTTAGATTCGGTGCAAATTAAAAACCAGTAAAAAAGTCCTTGCAGGGCCCCTTTTTTACTGGTTTTTAAAAGACCTGTGCAACGATTTTAACGTAGAAAGAATTGGCATTTTCTACCTTTGACACTGCTCATCTTGTCACAAAGGACAGAAAACAAACCTCCTTTCTTCAAGAAGTTGCGATTCCGCCGAGTATTTGCGAGGCAAAAATTTGAATATTCCCCGACCTGAAGCCATCAGCGGCGGCCATGAGAACCATGCGGCATGACGTCAATGGGGGTCTTGTAGAAAGATAGCAAGTTGTGCGAATACCTCCTCGATAAAAGGTAACTTTTCTACAAGTCTCGTCATTCCAACATAAATACGACAAAAACCTGGTATCATCGACAAAACTTTTATTACACAAAGTTTTAGTGGCACCATCTATCCTAGGTCCACAAAACCGTCAGCTCTATCTGCTACCGCGAACAGCCGCCTGAAGCCGGAGGGGGCGGACGAGGGCAGAGTCGGACGGGGATGGCCAGACCCGGATGAGACTTTCCTCCTCTCACCTTATTGTTCGCGCTGCGCCAGCACGTGGTCACGCGGTCGCGAAAGGACAAGTACTCGCTGCTCACTGATGGCTCTAGAGAGAGAGCTTCAACGGAACCCCGCGCCACCCCCATTGACGTCACAGCCCATGTGACTCGGAAGATGGTGAAGGAGTTGAGAAATGCGGAAAACCTCAATCTTTGTCCATTTTTAAAATAAAAACTAGGACATGCAGGCAAAGCGTTTTTTTTTTTTGTTTTTCACTTCAGAAAGGTTGAGACACCAACTCCCAAATTATTTAAGCAAAGCACTGAAAATGTTGCACAGCACCTTTAACCGAATGGCAGCATGGCCGCCAGATGCAGGCTTTTGGATAAAGGTCTGCAGCTTTCCCATTTGTTACTAAATCTAGCAGCTCTAACTGGACTTAGCCTAGTGTTGCGCCCTCTATCCAATCCAAGGCTTGGACTGGATTTGTCAGCTGTTCCTTTTGCATTGGTTAGCACACTCTACATCGGGTGAGCAGAGCCCACGCTCCACTCTAAGCAGAATGTATTGCCTATTTTTCTGCCCCTAAGTCCTCAAGTCTTTGCTCAGGGCACTCGACGGCGTTTCTGGCTCATTTTCCCTGACTGAGCTCGCTTTTTGACAATATTCCTGACGATTTTTCCCGTTGATTAAAATTTCCCTGACAATTCTCAGTTTTCCCGGTTTTACCGGTCGCTAGACACCCTCACCCACTATTAATTGTTTTGGATCAGCCAATAAGAGTTTGGCATTCTGACATCATCGCAACCCTTCTGCAAAAAGCAAACGAACTTGCGCTCCGCATATATAATGATGCACCAATGAGGGAGGTGTAAGAATACTGAAATTGAAAAGTGCCCTGTCATTCATATAGTGTTTGTATTGATACACATATATTTAAATACATATTTACACGGCCAAACATGTGCCCCTGTGGCATAGTGCAAAGTTGCACACGTCAAGGTGTTCATCCCAACTTTAACGCTTGGTCGAAAATTTTTAGCTGCTTCAAGATAAGCACCAACTTGTTCCAACTGCAAACCAAATGGCTAAAAAAGCTCAGGCAACCATTATGACAATTAGAACCAAAAAGAAAAATGCTGGTGAGGCCAAGGTTGATAACGATATGGAGAGGAACTACCTATATGGCGTCTACCTACTTTTCAACAGCACCGTGTACATATAGAGAATGAACTGCAAGCATAAAATGTAAATGTAGTGCACCAGCAGATTGCTTTAGAAAACAGCTGTTTTAATTGTCAGAGGCAGTGAAATTAATGAGAGTTCTATGTGATAAAAAAGCGCACATGCTCCAACCCCAACACTGAGAGCACCTCTGAAGAATATGGTACAAGAGGAAATAACATCATATATCAGCATGCACAGACTACAAACCTGAAAAGCGAAGGCAGATGCATTGGGAGATAGATTCACAAGCAGAGCGGCATTGTCAGAGGCCTTGAAATTAATTAAGTTTGTGCTAAAAAAGCACAAAAACCTAGCACAGCTATAAGGCCCAATAACAACCGTAGAGAATGATTGTAAAGCGCAATAAATAGGAAAGTAGTACGCTGTCCTCAGTTCAAGCTGGGATAATTTATACCTTTAGCTCCATAGGAACTCCACATATATGGCTTGCTGGTTATTATTTCAGAACATTTGTTCACCTATTTTATGCCAGAATCTTCATTAATTCATACTTGTTCTTGAACTTCAAGTAGGTTTTAAATACTAAGGGAGCTGGCCATGTCACCAGTTTGGTCGAACTACACAAGCAGTGCTACACACAAACAAAGATACATTTATATATATTAAAATGCGATAAAGAACCTTCGGTGAAACAACAATGACAGACGGATTTATTTCGACGAGGCTGAAACATAGAAATAAATGTCTGTTCTTGTTGTTTCACCAAAGGTTCTCTACCGCATCATATATCTATATATGTTTGCCATTTTGTGGATAATTCAAGCAGAATGAGCTGGTTTCTTCTAGTCTCACATTCAAGAATGTCGCAAGGCATTCTTGTTGCTTATCTCCAGACGAGTTTAGAAATCTGTTCTTAAATATTAGACTGATATTAAGCAACAACTACTTCCAATGTCTGAGTGAACAAAAATGCTCAAGACACCGCAAAAGCAGCAAGCCTTGCCCACATCAGATCTCACTTATTCCAACATATGTTTTCAGGACTACACAATATTCCATGCTTGACATATGTAGTGGTATGCAACAGGCCAAGATCATCGGAATGAGCACGCACAGCGAGAAACCCAGTTTGTTTATGCCGTTGTGGAAACGCCAGCCTAGGCAAAAGCACCAATTCAATAAATAGCCATATGAAGTACAGTAAAACCTCGTTATAACAAAATGGGATATAACAAACTAATGGATATAACAAAGTAATCATAATTCCCCTTGCTTGCTATAGTGGAAAGAAATAGATATTGGCTATAACAAACTGATGGTTATAACAAAACAATTATGACCGCTCCTTCAACTTTGTTATAACGAGGTTTTACTGTATATCAAGCCACTTTGGACCTTTTGTAGTAGAAATACAGATAGAAAAATTATGTTCTAATTAAATGTTGTGTAATGCATACATATATGTTAATGGAGCAGAGATACGTATGTGTGAATTGTTTGATCAGGCAAATTGGAGACTGTAGTCAGTGGAGTGTTAATGCAAGAACTCCTATATTATAGGCAGCGTTCACTGGGTGTCATAATTGAGTGTGGTGTTCACAGCACAGGCCCAGCAAGAGCCCCTGCTTATCTTCTGAGAAGAACTACAATCTCGATGGGCTAAGCATATTGCAGAAGTGTTGTGGAAGCTTATTGTAAGCTTGCGCTGAGCAGGAATGGACTCAACTATGGCCACCAGTGAATGCCACCTATAGTGACTCAGATAGATAAGAGCATAGCAAAACAGTTAAATGCTTGCAATACTGGCAGGGGCTTTCATAAGTTGACCAACTATCACAGCTTCAATACGCAAAGAAGACAACTCATACTTTACATGCAATAAAAATTATTATTATTATATGGCATATGCCAAAACTTGTGCGATCACATACATACTGCAAACCAATTAAGCAAAGCAAAGTTTAAAAAATAAGGGAACTGCTCATTGCCGATACACATATGCAAAATAATTTTGGAGAAAAATATACCGGCATCACGCAGGACATAGTGGACGACGCTTCCACTTTTCAAACAGGTTCGTTTGAAGTGTCGAGCTCGCTCTTGTATTTCCTCCTTTGCTCGCCCTTACGGTGAAACGGAGTACACAGTTCTATGAATGCCTGCAGAACAATTATCTTTGTTATGGTTGTCTTTGTGGTCAATAAATATTTGTGCAGCACTCAATTCCCTCGGACGGTTGTCCCCTTCTTTCATCTGTTAAGTGAAGCAGTTTTATTATATTTGCATATTGCGCATGGTCTGCTCTGGAATTTAGAATTTACGCATGCATTTAAGCAGTCCATTCCTACCTAAATTCTAAATCCTAGTTTGTCACAACAGACTAGGTGGCACAAGCTATCACCTTATACGAACAGAATCAATTATATTGGTTATCCACCCATTCAGATAACAGCCATCTACGTCTTGAACGAAGTGCCTAGACAGGAAGCCGAGACCAACATCACAACAGCCACTTGGTGCACTGATAGTCAAGTGATCCGCTGGACCCTACGGGAGTGGCAACTCTTTACGTTAGTATATTACTCTATGTCTGCTCTGCTAAAGTGGAAAGAGGTGGGAGGAGGTTCCATTTCACTCTTAACCTGCCACCGACTATGCGGCGTGCAAGTTCATCTGTTCCTTTTGCAGGGGTTGTGGTGTCGTCAGAACGCCGAGCTCCGATTGGCTCTGATTGAAGGATAGTGGGTAGACCTGAAGGCAGCTTGCTTTGAGGTCTACCCACTAATTTTCAATCGGAGCCGATCAGAGCTCGGCATTCTCACGTTACCGCAATCCCTGCAAAAGAAGCAGACAAACTTGCGCTCTGCATAGTCCTACCCCAGCTTTTTTCCAGCTGGCTTCAACGAATAAAACAACCGCTATGGTGGCGTTTGCAGAATTGGTCAGCTGACTCTCGCGATCATATAGCTGACCGCACCTGCACCGTAGCAAACGTCTCACCCGAGTAGAAGGCGACCAGCAGCGCGCTGGACGCGCACACCTGGTCAATGAGGGCCTTGCGGACCGCGACAGCTGCTATCTTGCCCGGAAGCACGCGGTCCAGGTACCGGTACCAGTAGAAGAGGGCGGGGGCGTAGATGCCCGTCCCGATGACTGCGTACCGTCCGACCAGCGGCACATCGTAGCCACGCACGGACGGGTCTAACTTCTGGAGGATCGTCTGCTGGACCAGTTCGGCCCCGACATACATGGAGCCGAAGGACACCACGTTGGCCACCAGCGGACGCTTCTTAAACAGCGTCCGCACGCTCTGCATGATTATTCTGGTGCCTCTCGTCGACAAGCACCGCAGCAATTCCAGACGTTGCCGGCGGTGCTACTCCGCAGATTGTCGGCGGAGCGAAAGGGAGGGCAGTCTTCGTCGCCGAATCTAATCATCGATATGACCTCGTAAGCGTACCGTCCCATCGGTCCAGTCTCCGCCTCCAATTGAATGCGACAGCTGCAGCAAACCAGAAGCGCACAAGACGCCGACCAGGGGGGTTGATGCACTTGGGAGTTATTAAATCGGTATTCCCGGCAGACGAGCGAAGTGGAATTCCTTGTAGGAAACAGGGAAAGAGAGAAAGCCGCCGCCGCCAATCTATTTTTCTGTTCTCTCCGCTTACGTGATATCTCCTTTCCCGCTTCGTCGCGTGGACGTCCAGTTTCGGTTTCTTAGGCTTCGATGACTTGAGTCGCCCAGTACCCGATTCGTGCACATAGCAATATCCCAAAGCTACTTCGTCACTTACCGGGATAGAAAGCGAGTAGGATGAGCGACGACGAGACGGCTTGGTCGGTCAGCGCCTTTTGAATCGCCACCTTGGTCCCTTTGGCCGGCAGAACGCGATCCAGGTAACGGTACCAGTTGTGCAGGAACGGTGCAGAGACGGTGGTCCCGAAAACGGCGTAGCGCATGATGATCTTCCAGTCGTACGCCTTGGGAGATTCGTCGCCTCCGTAGCGGATCAGAATGGTCTGTTGCGTAAACTCGGCGCACACGTAGAGGGTCGGGAACGAAACCATGTTCGCGAGCAGTGGTCGCTGCTTGAATATGTTGAGGCATCGTTGGAATCGGGCCGCGATCGTGCTCATTTCGGACGTGTGTGTTGCGGGGTTCCGGCGTCGTAGTGTGTCGTGGCAGAGCGTCGAATGGGGCGTGTGCCAAGGTCGAAGAGCGTCGCGTTGAGTGAAACAAGGAAATGAACGAAATGAAGAGAACTTTGAGCGAAACACATGTCGTTGTGGGCGGTGGCCAACCGAAACAAAATGGGAGTCGCCATGTTGATATGTTGCTGGCGATAGTGTTTCCGAGAACTGTGTTGCCGAGTTTGTACGGAGGAGGCGGAGACTTCCTTCGGGGAGACAGAGGCAGCAGACGCCATAGAGATCATACATACTAACTCTAGAGGAAAAGGTCCGCCATTTTCCCATACATTCTGGCTGCCGCAAGCGGCGGATCATGCAGGCAGACCTTCTGGGTCCCAAACACGGTTACATCATCAGAGCAGTTTCGTGAACTTCAACAATTCACGAACTTACCGGTGGAAAGATATTCACGTTTCTTTCGAAGCTTTCTTTTTGAAAAGCGCGCAGATGTACGGCCTCGCGTTAACGCTAAACTAAACCATATACCCGGCTTCGCCAGTGGGGCGCGGCTGGGCGCGGTTGAGGAATACGAAACTGCGCAACCACCAGATTTCCGAGATTTCGACAGAAGGGAAGTTAATGCAGCGTAATGAGTTTATTGCTTTTTATAAGCGTTAGAATAGCTCATAATTTAGTTTACAACGTTAAATTATCACTGTTCTTCGCGTTACCATGGCAACGTTGCTTTCTTTCTCTCGTGTTCTGTCGCTCTCTTTTGCGTTCGTTCACTCGGGACCCAGGATGTCGGCGCACGGGATTTGCCACTCCTCCTCACCCACCTTTACCCCCCTGGCAGACGCACGCTGGATGGATGAAGTAGGAGTTCCAGCGAAAAGATAACCGTGGTTTTCGGCCCGGGTAAATAAAATATGCATCGCAGAAGGCTCAAACTCCATGAAAATATGAACCTAGCGGCTGGAATAGAATACAAAAGTTTGAGGACATGACATTTGCTGGATCAAAAGATAATTGAGAAAAACAAACTTTCTCTATGAGCCGACGTCCAGCTAAGTCTAATTCGTCAAAGCGAAAAATGACATTTATTTCAGTAAAAAAAAAACTAGGCAGCAGAAAGAAAACAAGATTCTCTTTTATACTGATAAGTGTTTTTAACTATACAAAGCTCGCAAGCGTTCGCAAAATATAAATAATGGGAAGAACATAAAACACAGGGACTAGGGTGACCACCCGTCCCGTGACTCGCGGGACTGTCCCGCATTGTGGGCTCGTGTCCCGCAGAAATTCCCGAATCTTCAAAATGTCCCGCATTTCTCACTGTCGTAAAATTCTCTCTGCAACTGATGGTGCTGCCGAGCAACGGGGCACGGGGAAGCGCGGAGTTCACTGGTAACTATGGTGCCTACGGTAACCAAGGAGGATAGAAGCGTAGGAGAGGGCATGACGACAGCCGTGTGGCCTACACAAGACATGCTTCCTTGACGCCTCGCCTCTTTCTCATTTCCCTCTTTACTCTCCTCACTTACCACGCCAACGTGACCACAACACGTGACCGTAGCTAGTTTTCGTCTAGCTATGGGGTACTAGAATACACCACAGACTAGCCTTCGATCTGATGAAACCTACCGGACGGAGCGCGCGCAAGCCTGCAAGGAGTCCTTCGACAATCAACCATCCATCTCACACGTGACATGTCACGCGCACCAATAGCCAGAGAGTTCTATGGTCACGTTGGCCACAACATCTTTTACACTTTTTATGACTAGGCTTCACCAATATTGCAACGTGCCCTCTCCTAGTACTTGTAACCTCCTTGCTGATAACCGTGTGAATCGCAATGGTACGCCATTTTCTATCCAAACATTGCGGGAAATGACCGTCGTTCTTGCAGGAGACCCGACGCGCATGCTCCGTTGTGCCCCTCCCCTTAGTGGCAAAATATTGTAAGAGAAAATTACTCGTTTATTGTTATTATTTTTATATCGCTGTATCAACGCGAAAGGGATGCTGTGGATATATGTATTTTTTAAGACAGTCACACAAGGCAAAAAGAAAAAGAACATAATTTTGAAAATTTGTGTAGCACCATGTTGATAAAAGTAAGCCTTGGCAGGAAACAATAACTCGAAAAAGATGTACTGTTTCTTAATTTCACTTGATGCATCGAGTGCTGCTGCAGTTGCTTTTTATGCTTTCAACTTCGACACATTTAATAACATATTTGGCACAAAAAATATATCACTGGGAGTGAAAACTACTTTAGCTTAATTGCTGCAATACAATTGGCTGGTGTATAAACAGCGCAGAATATTAAATGTGTTAAGAGAACCTCGGTTCGTGGTGTGCGTGTTCATAAATTTTCTCTACCCCCTCGATCCCTACCTTCCCTTGCACGTTTCTCGATGCGTCTTCAGTGAACGGATGGCGTCTTGGGAGTCTGTGAACGTGATGATGCTCGTGCCGCATTGGGCTTCTTGTCCGGTGTGCATGCATTCAGGGCCTCTTCAATAGCTGTGATCTCAGCCTCTTGCGTCGTTCTGCCAGTTCCGCGCTTCAAAAATTTCCATTCTCTCCGTCTTATAGTTTTGCCTTCGAAAACCCTCCTTGCTCCACAGCGTTGTACTATTTGTACTGCCATGTGATCATTAGAGTAAATTTTGGACATAGCCATATAAGAGCAACCGTACAGATTCAACCCCCCCCCCCCCCCCCCCCCCCCCTTTATTGACAGCAACTCGTCGGAACAGCTGGACGATTCAGGGCTCCGTGGCCGATATATGATGCAAAGACATCTACGCGCGACACACCTTCAAATCTTTGTATCAGTATTCAAGCGTGTGAAGGCACAGAGACGCGGCGCTTCGGCGTTCCAAGGAAGCTCACTTGATCACGCCGCGAGTCCGGAGAAACTTGCTTTCGACGAGTTTTGCCTTCTTCCTGCGACACTGCGATTCCGTAAAAATTTCCATATGTTATCAAGGGCAAGTCTCACAGGTTACAAAGGGTCAGAACTTGTTCGGTGAATGACGAGGAACGAGTATAAAACGTGTCACACGGACCACGAACTGAGGCTCCGTTAACACATTTAATATCCTGTGCAGTTTATACACCTGCTAATTGTATTGCAGCAATTAAGCTCAATTAATTTTCACTCCCAGTGATATATTTTGTATGACAAATATGTAATTAAATGTGTCGAAGTTGAAAACATAAAAATCGACTGTAGCAGAACTCAATGCATCAAATGGAAATAAGAACAGTAAATATTTTCAGGTTATTGCTTCCTGTTCACGCTTACTTTTATGAACATGGTCCTACACATATTTTTAACATTGTGTATTTTTTTTTTTTTTTTTTTTTACCGTTGCGGGTTGCAGGCTTTTTGCCTCGTGTGGCTGTCTTCACTAAAACAAAAATCCACAGCAACCCTTTCGCATTGACACAGCGATTTGAAAATAATTACAATATTTTATATTACAATTTTTTGGCGAGCAATTTTTCTTAGAATATTTTGCCACCAAGGGTAGAGGCACAACGGAGCATGCGCGTCGCCTCTCCTGCAAGAACGACGGTCGCTTCCCGCAATGCTTGGGTAGAAAATGGTGTACCATTGCGATTCACACGATTATCAGCGACCTCCGCGCTTCCCCGTGCCCCGTTGTTCGACAGCGCCATAAGTTGCAAGGTGAATTTTTTTACAGTATGGAATGCGGGACATATTGAAGATTTGAGAAGTTCTTGCGGGAAGCAGGACACGAGCCCTCAATGCGGGACAGTCCCGCGAGTCACGGGACGGGTGGTCACCCTGCACCCGACGTCGGCGTCTTCTCGGGGAACCTCGCGTTTGCCAAAAGAACACAGAATTTTTTTATTCGTCTGCTTCGTACGATTGTCGTTGCCTTGCCTTTGCGATTGCATGCGCTCGGAGACAACCGCCTTCACTGAATGGACAACGGCGATGATTGAATATACGTTTAGACTCCGGTTGTATGCAGCATATGCGAAAGGCACAGACTCGACCGGGCAGCTTCAGAAGGTGCCCTTTTGCCACGTTTTTGTGCAAACAAAGCACGGTGCTTGCTATGCCCGCGCATCCGTATTACACGCAGCTTGTGCGATAGTGTTTTCGAAGGAAAGCTGTTGTATTCCGTAGTAGTGGCGTGCACACAGAGAATGCACAAAACACATTCGGAGTGATCGCTCCCGCAGAGTCGGAGGTCGGAACGCACTGCGAACTTCGGTGTTGGCTTTCGCGCAGAGGATGAAGAGTAGTTTCACGGCGTCGTAAACGCGCATAAAACACTGCTCACAGTCGGTACAATCGGCTTGCTTCTCTCCACGCTAAAATACTTGCAGCCAGGGGCGGACGCAGGTATTTCTTGAGGGGGGGGGGGGGGGGGGGTCAGGTGTTGGTCAGCATATTATGTTTAAGACCCCCCCCCCCCCCCTTTTCCCGTTTCCACGCCCTAAATTTTTACACGTGCAGAATTCAAGAGGGGGGCCAGGACATCCAACCCCCCCCCCCCCCCCCCCCCCTGAAATCCCGCTTATCGTCAAGAGGTCCAACGTGTCAGGAGATCCAATAGCCACGTGACATCCGAGTCAAGAGGTCCAACGCGTCAAGAGATCCAATATGGGTCAAGAGATCCAACGAGAAAAAGGTCCAACGCGTCAAGAGATCCAAAATGGGTCGAGAGGTCCAACGTGTCAAAAGGTCCAACGAGTCAGGGGTCATAGCAGAGAGGGTAAAAAGAGAAAAAAATGCCCTCCCCCTCTCGCCGGATGTCGTCTGCTCCGCCGAGTGGGCAGTACCTAGCATCCGGCTGGCGTACAAACTCTGTTTAAAGGGGCACTGACACCCCAAAGGTCGTATTTATTTTTATTGTCTAAAACGATGCAAGTTGCAGTCATAGACACGCAAAAAAAAACCGCATCACGAAAAAAAATTTTCCCGCGCGCGCGCGCGCCTTTTTATTTTTGGCGTTTGATTTTCCCGCCTCTCGCCTCCTCGCTTCTTTTGATCGGTGACGTCAAAAATCAGGAAATTTAGAAGCTTTGTAGGCGACATCTCTATAACATTTAATAACGGCAATCGTAAAACATGTTTTTTAACGCAACTGCGAACGCACTACGGCCCTTCTTTTTGAAATACCAAAAATCGGGAGTT